ACAAGCTGCGACCCTTTGGCTGCCCGGTGGGCGGCTGCGGCAAGAAGTTCACCACAGTGTACAACCTCAAGGCGCACATGAAGGGCCACGAGCAGGAGAGCCTGTTCAAGTGCGAAGTGTGCGCCGAGCGCTTCCCTACACACGCCAAGCTCAACTCCCACCAGCGCAGCCACTTCGAGCCCGAGCGCCCCTACAAGTGTGATTTCCCAGGTGAGCTCGAGTCGCCGACCCGCGGGGGGGCGGGCTACGGTGTCTGGACCAGGGGCCAAGCTCTGTGTCGCTGTTCCGGCAGGGTTTACCGGGGATGTCCTAATCTCAGTGGGGAGCGTGCAGAGGCACATACCCGTGTTTGGATTCACGTTCCTTTCAGGTAGTTAGGTAGATGTGAAGCCTTAGGTTCCTACAGCGAAGTGGCATGCATAGTCACAACTGTCCCTGGAGGGAAGCCACAAACCCTTTGTTAAGATGCTTTCTCCGAAAGCGACCACTTCTTCTCAGAGTTGAGTTGGGACTTTATTTTTCTCAGTCTACTCAAGTATATTTAGATGAGTCAGAGATCCAACGCTCATGCGGCCCAATATGCCACCTTAAATTACTGAGGGAATGACTACACATTAGTGCCTCTCTGGTCCCTTTCCAGCCTCTATGGAAGCCCCACAGATTAGTGGACACAGCCCTCAGGGATACCTCATGCTTTGAATAAGACTTCTGTCCTTCCCAGTATTAAACAGTGATGCTCCTTCACCAGGGTGAGCCTCTGCAGCCACCCTCAGGTGTGTGGCGCATTTGTTTTTGTGTCTTCTATACTTTATTTTTGTCAGACTTCTTAGTTTCTGGGGCATCATGTCTGTTCTCTTCCATTAACATGTATACACACTCTGTTCTCCTAGTAACATGCATTTTATGTTCATATGTAGGGTTTAGCAACAGATTCTAGTACTGTATTGTTACATGACCATAGACTATCTGCTACAATCTGATCGAAAACCTTTGCAGTCACTTCCTGATGTGAGAATGGTGACAGCAGGCCTCACCATGGTAAAGGTAGCATCATCCTGTGTGTTGTGCTGGGAAGGACAGGGATTCACTTCAAAGTATGAGGTATTCCTGAGGGTCTTATGTTGGCTCACAAGTTGGACTTTTGTAGAAGCTGGGGGTGGGGGTGGGGTTCAGGGGAGCACCTTTAAGTGTCCAGTCAAAGAGGGTTTCTTTTGACAATGTGAGCCAGGAGGTGGCAGTGGGAATGGCGCAGGGCTTCAGGTAAAAGATCCACAGAGGCAGGTTGAAAGAGCATGGCTGTTGATTGGGGCAATGAGGACTGTTGCTAAGGCAGAGAGTGCTAATGTTCAGATTAACTGAATCAGTTACATCCTAAGTAGCAAAGGGACCAGTTTGAAGCTAACTAAGGAAGAGGACTTTTGGATGGGGCAGAGATTCCCTGCGCTGCTACTTTTACTCAGGATTGTGCAATGTTTCACAGTCATAGTGATAGCATTTTAGGGACTCTGGGAAAGAGCTGCAACAAAGATAGCTCCTAAACATCTTTCAGCTTTTTATTTCCCACCCTGTTTAAGAATAGAACATTTTTATCAAAGAAGTGTTGATGTAGGAATTGCTGAGGTGTAGGTTGCTTGGGCTGATGGGATGGGGTGGAGCTACAAGATGGAGGTGAAGTTGACAAGAACCTGAGGACATGGGTAAAAGAAAAGAGAAACCAGATAAGATGTGGGGCTACCAATTGCAGAGGTTAGAGGAAATTAAAGTGTAGGGGATGAGGCATCCCCCAGTGGGATTGAAAATCTTAGCTAGTAGGATTGTTGCAGCCCTGCAAAGCTATACAAGACTAACTCTTGATCTTTGGGGTTTTTTATCCTGCTTATTTCCTGGATTTCACTCAGACAGCATTGCCACCTGAGTTTGTGGAAGACACACCTAGTTGATGCAGAATTGGCTACAGAACTGTCTTGCCAAGGATATGTTTGGAGGACATCCTCTTAATCACTTGTGCCATTACTACATAACACTGCAACAGGTGGCCTGTGTATGCTACCCCTACTGTAGTTTCTAGAAAGCTAAATATTGGTGGACAGGATTTTGCAGAGATGGTTTCCGAGTTTTGTCTTTCCTTGTCTGCTCATTGTGAACATGCCCCAGGCTGTGGACAGTGTAAGCTGCACTGTGTGCTTTTGTCGTCCTATGAGTTGAGCTTGTGCTTTCTTCATTCAGGCTGTGAGAAGACGTTCATCACAGTGAGTGCCCTATTTTCCCATAATCGAGCCCACTTCAGAGAACAAGAGCTCTTTTCCTGCTCCTTTCCTGGATGCAATAAACAATATGACAAAGCCTGTCGGCTGAAAATTCACCTTCGAAGTCATACAGGTACGAGCTGGAGGGCGTACCACAATGTGGACCCATGATTTGTGGTGGCTATTGTGCTCGTAGTTAGTCTGTGCCATTTTTTTCTTTTACAAGGTGAAAGACCATTTATTTGTGACTCAGACAGTTGTGGCTGGACCTTCACTAGTATGTCCAAACTTCTAAGGCACAAAAGGTAAACCTTACATTTTGTTATTTAGGTACTGAAAGTTCATGAAGTATGTGTCACAGAACACTATGGGTGAATCACTTACAGATTTCAGGCTGTTTAAAATGGAGCCCAGTGTCAATGTCTTAGAAAATCAGAAAACTGTAAGAAAAGCACCAAGAATCTCTTCACTTAACAACAGTTGTTTCCTGTTAAGTTTGGTTTGGTTTGGTTTACTTAGCACACTGCTAATACAGTTACGTTCTTGTTTTTTGTTTCCTTTTAGATGTTGTAGCAATACTTTTTTTCATGTTCTTACAAACTTTGAGTAGCGATAATGACAACTTGGGGTCTGTGTACCCATGATGTTCAACATGTTGTGTCATTCCATCTTGGTTACAGCTCCATTATTGGTATTATACAGACTGAGGGGAGTGGGTGGCCTGTGTCTGTTTGCATAACTGGGGTCTGAGGTGCTCAGAATAAAAATATGACTTAGAAAAAGACAGTCTTTATAAGTTGACTTAAGAGGATTCTTTCTCACTCCCACTGCTTTCCCCCCCGACCCCCCCTCCCCTGTGAGTGTGTATGTCTGTGTGTCTATGTCTATGTCTATGTCTTCTGGCTGTCTGTGGCTTGGAAAGCACACTTCTAAACAATTTAGATTGCTTCATTTGTTCCTTTGAGATTCACCTGTTCCTATATTGTTGTGACACTAATTGTTCTGTGTCTGGCTTTGGGGCCACCTTAATTATCAAAGTAGAATTTCTGATTATGAAACAGCTAAACAAACAAACCATGTGTGGACATTCTGAAATGTACTGATTGTTTGGAATGGAGAGAACATGCTGTTTCTGTTCTAAAGCCTCATCCCTGTGAGTCTGTGAGTGGTCATTGTTCTTTCATTTTTGTTTCAGGAAACATGATGATGACCGGAGGTTCACCTGCCCTGTGGAAGGCTGTGGCAAGTCATTCACTAGAGCAGAGCATCTGAAGGGCCACAGTATCACTCACCTGGGGACCAAGCCATTCGAGTGTCCTGTAGAAGGTAACATTTAAAATGTTGCTTTAGCTGTAGACAAAATGCCACACCAACATTCAAGTTTAGCTATAAGTTTGAGTTGCAGAAGTACTAAGATAGTTGCCAGTACAGCATTGTATTTATTTGGTTGGTTGAAAGTACATGCACACTGTCTTAGGAGTATATTGGAAGTAATACAGGGTTGCCTTCTACCCTGCCACTCAATCTGAGGCTCTGGTTTCACTATCTGTTTCACTTGGTGATTTTGAGGGATAGGTGAAGTGAGAAGAACCCTTCTTTATGTGTGGTCTGGCACATAGCTTGGGCTCACTAAAATGGCAAGTAAATAATCTTATTTACCTCGACAAAATAAAGTCTTGTCTTATTTCTTTATAAGAGTATTCATGAGGCTTTGTCTTAGAGTTTCTCTTGCTGTGATAAAATACTGTGACCAAAAGCAACACAGAGTGTATTTCAGCTTATACTTCTATGTTACAGTCCATCATCAAATAAAGTTAGGACAGGAACTCAAAGAAGGGACTTGGAGGCAGAAGTTGATGTAGAGGCCATGGGGGAGTTCTGGTTACTGGCTTGTTTCCATGGTTTGCTCAGCTGGCTTTCTTAGAGCACCTAGGACCACAGGTCCAATAGTACCACCCCCTACAGTGAGTTTGGCCCTGGCACATCAATTAAGAAAATGTCTCATAGATATGCCCACAGACCAATCTTACAGAGTCATTTCTCAATTGAAGGTCCCTCTTTCAAAAAGACTCTAGCTTGTGTCAAGTTGACATAAAAGCACAGGCTTTTTTCTTTAAAATGTTAAGAGTGTAATTTATTTGCCAAAAATTTGTATGGCCCATTCATGTCAATAAGGAAAGAGCAGTCCAGGGTTAGTCAGATGGGCCCTAAATTGATGGCCTCAGCTAAATTTGTTGACTTTAGTTATCTTAGCTGGAGAAGGATAATAAAGACCACTTAACACCAACATCAGTTCTTACAACATACTGAACATAATAGAAATGGTATGATCAAGTTCTCCCTCTTATCAGCATACCAGCTATGAGTGTGGACAGGTAAATAGGAACATACAGCTGCTGTAAGATGTCTGGACTTCAGCCATACTGTTCTTGGGACAGTGTGAATGTCCTGGTCAGCTTAAGGAGGAAGAGCTAGCCAGACATTAAAGAATGGCTGGTGGAAGCAGAAAGACCAGCAGGGAGAATCCCAGGGCAAGAGCAGTTCACTTGGAACCAAAGCCCAGTCTGGTCTTTGGAGAGTTACTGCAGTCCTGGGCAGGGGGCTGACAGCACAAAAGAATCCCATCAGCAACAAAGATAGATGTCAGAGCAAGCTTTAATGATTGGACCTGGATGAGGGAAGCACAGTAGTTGAATGAGTGTCTGACTGAGATTAGGATGGTGAAGAGTTTGGTCATTTGGTACATAAAATGATAAAATGTACCTTCAGCTTGACCCAGAGATTAGACTGTGTGTCTGCTGCTGACTTATAGAGCATGTTGGACTACAAGTGAAGCAGGTGTCATGCAAGTGCTTAAACCCTGTGAGTGGATGGAATTCTCAAGCAATTGAAAATGTGAATTCTGGATTCAAGTCCTGAGTCTGCCACTTGCATGGCTCGGAAAAGTCCTGAGATTTGCAGGTTAAGCTCTGTGCTTCTTTTACTTGTCCATAAGGTAAATAAAATCTCATAGGGTTCTTGCAAAGATTCAACTAATTGAAAATTTTAAATCTTGTAAAAACATTGATATTTGTCAGTTCCTATGATTGTGTGATTGCTATTAGGTGGAGTTTTGTTTTCTGTTTTCTAAGCCTAGGAGGGGAGCCCCATATGGTGGTAAAACAACGGAAGGGCTGCCCTGGTGGGAAGCTCTAAAGGCAGAGTTCTGAGCCAGAAGAATGTCTGTGGAGGACCAACTCAGAATGCTGAGGCCCATTTATGTTGTTTAGTGTTAGTTGGCAAGTTTTGGTAGGGCAGCTCAGGCAGAGTTGCTGAGCAGGAGGTAGGGGACTTCTTATTTTCACAGCTCTTTTCAAGGTGATTGGCAGAAGAAGAAAGGCCAGAAGTTCACTGTTAAAGGGAGAGCATTTGTTTTTGAAGTTTTCAAGGAGCTTTGAGCCATTAAGATAATGGTCCTTAGCAGGGGGAAGAGTGGCAGGGTGTGGTCAAGGCCTTTGCACAAGGCAGTGGTGACTGGTGCAGAGTCTCCACAACCCCTTCTTACTAGACTAAATGAAGCCAGGCACTGTGTTTAGAGTGACATCAGGCACATCCTCAGGGTGGTGGGCAGTGCCAGTGCCCAGGACCTCCAAGTGAGCTATTTAAGGAAAAATAGAGCCATTATGAGAAAGGGCCCAGACTAACTCTGTGCAGTATGGGACTTAAATTCATTCTCACATGAAACTTCAAACATGTTTCTAGACAAACTCTAAGTCTTTTCCTTATCTTGACCCCATGCATCTCATTTTGCAGAAAGGAAAAGCTGCTTTGAGAAGGGTCAGAAGCTTATCTGTAGCTTAGAGCAAATGAGGGTTGCATGCAGGCAACCTTAGCTGGGCAACTCCCTGGACTTTTATACACTTCTGCTCCAAGGCCTGGTCCCATCACTCAGCAGGGGCAGAGTCACCTACTGCCCCTTGCTCAGGCACCTGTGTCTCAGTCTTCTCAGAAGCTGTTTCTACAGCATTCATTGTTTCAGCACTGATCTTGTTCTGCCTCTTATTCTGACTTACTACCTACATGCTCAGCCAACTCACAAGCCTCTGCACTCAACTTTGCCTCCCCTTTCTGGGTCTGTGAAAGGCAGAGCATCAACATGACAGGCAGTCAGAGATGAAGGGAAGGCATTGTAAATGTATGTTCCCTCCAGCACTTGAATCCAGATCTGATGTGTAAGTCAGTTGAGTGTGTAGGCTGGGGAATGCTGTCTCTGGCTCTACCTCTACCTGTGACCTAGAGACATTTGCTCAGTTTCTGGGCTGCACAGAGGTGAAATGGGTGGGGTTATCTTTGGTCATGTGTTGAGGTAGTTCCAACCCCTAGAACTGTAGGATTTCTCTCTCTCTCTCTCTCTCTCTCTCTCTCTCTCTCTCTCTCTCTCTCTCTCTCTCTTTCTCTCTTTCTTTTGTAATAGCTTAATAGAGGTGTTAAGTATACATTTTTGCAACTGAGCCTTGACTGGAGAAGTTGTTTTGACTCAACTCTGAGCAGTAGATGGAAGAAACAGACAGAGTGAGCTTGATCAGGTCACATGTCTTAGACTGACTAACTCATGGTCTGCATATTCCTTTATAATTTTTCATTTATCCTTTGTGCTCCTCCTAGGGTATTTGGTATATGTCATTTGTCAGTGGCCAGTGCTTGGGAACATAGTGTCATGCTTTGTATTAATCACGGTTCTCTAGAGGAACAGAACTGCTAGAATGAATCTATATATATTAAAAAAGGGGATTATTAGAGTGGCTTATAGGCTGTAGTCCAACTAGTCCCAACAGTGACTATCTCCCAAAGGAAAGGTCAAGAATCCAATTGTTCAGTCCAGTAAGGCTGGATGTCTCAGCTAGACATCAGTATACATTGGAATCTCAAAGAAGACTCTAATGCCAGTGAAGGATGCCTTGGCATCAGGATAGATAAGCTTGCCAACCAGAGTGAGGGCAAGCAGGCAAAAAACAAAAGTTTTCATCTTCCATGTCCTTTTATATAGGCTGCCACCAGAAGGTGTGGCCCAGATTTAGGGTGGGTCTTCTGACCTCAAATCAAGAAAAATCCCTCAAAACTGTTTAGTTTATTCCAGATGTAGTCAAGTTGACAATCAAGGTTAGCCATCACAAATTCACTCCTTGTCAACTTATGTTTCATTTCCAAATCAATAACCAGGTCATAATTACTCATAAAATGATATAACTATCCCACTAAAACTGTAAATGAATTATATATCTTAGAATAGGTGGCAATGTCCCTTGAGGGACATTCTTTTAATACCTCGTAACTTATATATGATAACCACTGACACCTCAATTGGTGTTACATAACATAATCAATCGAAGAAAAAACACAAATATCTTTACAATACATTCTTCACAAAAGGTGACAGAAACACATATCAATTATCCTTAGTTTTGCAACTGTTCACATGGCCTTAGTTGGTAGTTATGGCTACCTTCCTCAACTACCCATTCTGTATTTCTTCCACTCTCAACAAGCACCTCATCAGGTCTTGTTTTGGTGGTTGTTTTAATATTTTTTTAATCCTTAAGTGATCCATACCTTTCTTCTCAAAAGATCTGAGCCTTTGTCATTCTGCATGGATTGGGTTGTAATTTCCCATTGACTTAATTTCTGTTTTAGTTAAGGGTTACTATTGCTGTGATGAAACACCATGACCAAAAGCAACTTGGGGGTGAAAGGACTTATTTAGCTTACATATCCTCAATAATAGTCTATTGATGGAAGCCAAGGAAAGAGCTCTAGTTGGGTGGGAACCTGGAGGCAGGAGCTGATGAAGAGGCCTGCTTACTGACTTGCCCCTCATGGCTTGTTCAGCCTGCTGTCTTATAGAACCCTGAATCACCAGCCCAGAGTGATACCACCCACAATGGTCTGGGTTCTCCCACCTCAATCACTAATTAAGAAAATGCTTGACAGGCTTACCTATAGCCTGATCTTATGGAGATATTTTCTCATGTGGTTCCCTCCTCTCAGATTCTTCTAGTTTGTATCAAGCTAGAACTAGTCAGTATAAACTAGTCAGCACATGATTCATAATTACATTTTGGGGGTGGGAAGTTCATGTGGCACAGTGGAGGTTAGAGGACAACTTTGTAGAGTTGGTTCCTTCCTTCCACCTTTATGTGAGTTCCAGAAATCAAACTCAGGTCACCAGACTTGGCTGGCAAACACCTCCCTGTTGAGTTGTCTTACCAGTCCATAGTGTCATTTCTGATGTCATTAGGAAGTATTTTTGATTATCCTCAGGTGTAACTCTGGTTCCCCTCTGTGTTCCAGGATGCTGTGCCAGGTTCTCAGCTCGAAGCAGTCTGTACATTCATTCTAAGAAACACCTGCAAGACGTGGGTGCTCCGAAAAGCCGCTGCCCAGTATCCAGTTGTAACCGGCTCTTCACCTCGAAGCACAGCATGAAGGCACACATGGTGCGACAGCACAGCCGACATCAAGGTCTGTGACTGTGGCCCCAAGAGCTGCAAAAATGTATATGCCTGAGCATGAGAGAACAGGGATGGTGCCTCTCCCTGTTACCTCTCAGTCATATATAAACCTTCATATAAAGCTTCCACATAGCTCTGCTTTCTTGCTACTCTCATCTTACCACAGCCCCTTTGTACCTGTTTTTGCTCTTGCCTGTGTAGTTCTTCCTTCAAATGTGCCATCACTTTGTGGGTCTCCCTGACACATGTATTCTAAACCTGTCTGCAACTGATCCCTTTGCCCTGTACCTGCATCCTCTGAGTCTGTCTTACCATGTCCGCTATTCTGAACATTGAATCCTCTGTCTTCTTCCTGGTCTTAGGAAGCACCAGATTCTGCACTGAGGACTGTGTTCCAAAGGTGGCCAGGAAGCCCTCCAAGCCTACAGCATATCTGTGTCTCAGGAATGGGCTGGGATATGAGAGAGCCATCATGGTAGTGGTCAAGGGCATGTGGAGGGGAGGATGCTGAGCATGTAAGACCTGACATTCAGCATCTGTATTATAGCACTTAGAAGTCTGCCCCTCTAGGTCTTATCTATAATTGTAGGCAGAACATCATGAATGTAGGAGAGGCAGCAGTGGCTGCTTCTCTCTAGTCCATTCACAGAGAGACAGTGTCTCTCTGGGATAAGATAGGTTCTGCTCCTGGTAAGGTAACTTGGTGGAGGCCATACATATTTCTAACTAGTTCCCCCCTTACTGTGACCTGTGAAGCAGATAATACCATTTAGCATTTCCCAGTTGGAATCCTAAGCAGGGACAGATCTTTGAGCTGTGTTTCCCTAAGCTTTGAAAAGAAGGAAAGTGATACTATGAGCCACTCTTGGTTAAAGCTCCTATTGCAGAGCTCTAAGCAGCTAGAGCTGGTGACACTTTGTGTACTTTATCTGGTTTCTTCTCTTGGGAGAGGTGGTTGCATACTCTGTCCTTTGGATCTCAGACACTATGACCTCACACCATGGCAGTTGCTACTCTGTGTTGTAAAAGCAGTTCCCCTCCTGCTAGTCTGGTGAGTTCCTAAGGTCAAGCAGGGTGTATCTCCTATTTAATGTCAGAGGGTGTCACCTTTCTTCCCAGAGTCTGTCAAACACCATCCCTCTCTCCAGCTCTGAGCTAGTGTTGTGTGACCTCACAGACCTCAGCCTGACATTCCCTCTTAAACAGTATCTCCTTTTCCCTAAGCTAGCTAATTCAGGTTATTTCACAGGAGTTTTCCCTAAACTCTGGATGGGTAAAAGGCCCTCTTTTAGCAGGCCTATGTTTATGGTATATATTGACTGACTCATGTACCATTCATTCATCTTGCCCATTGTCAGTAGAGGACCAGGCACTCAGGGCTGTCTGATGACTCCCAACTTGTGTCTTAGTTCACTTTAAAATGGTCCTGCTGCTGCAGAAAGACTTGCCAAGGTCACACCAAGAGGAAGTACTCAAGCCAGGATCTTTTCTAGGATCTATTGTCATCCAGAGTCACAATCCTAACCATTAGCACTATGTGCTTGTGTTTAGTCAGTGATTTTTCTTTTATATATTTATTTACATCAATTCTGTGGTTGATATTTGTGGAATTAATAAAATGTTAGATGGGAGATTTTTGAGTAAGTTAGCATCTTCCTTCCATCAAAATCAGTCTCCAGAGAGAACACAGTCATCAAGATGTATGTTTGTTTGCTTGTTTTTAATTTTGAGAAAGAAATGGGTTTCCTGTTTCACTTTCTAGAAAGAATCTCTCATGTTTCCTCTCAGAATGTTGTATTGGTACTAAGATATTATTGAAGAAACTTTCTGATATGACAACTAAACAGGAATTCTAGCTTTGGTTTCTCTTCTTATATCTAGACTAGCTGTCTTTTGTAGGCTTGAGTTAAAAATGCGTGGTGGTGCATGCCTTTAATCCTAGAACTTGCAAGGCAGAGAGTTTGAGGCCAGACTGGTCTGCTATGCAGAGAAATTCTGTCTTGAAAAACAAAAACAACAAAAAAGTGCAATATACACTCTGACCTAACCTTCATGCTTAGAAAGTATGCATTTGTTAACAAGTAGTTGATGTGAAGGAACAGAGCTGAGAGCCCCTTCCTCTGCTTCAGGCACTGGGGCAGTTCGGAAGCTGTAGAGCTACATGCATCTGCCTAAAACCTAAGTTTTCAACCCAGCCCAAACAGCCATTTTTACTCCTTGATTAGCCACAGAGGACTCAAACCATTTTGTGGATAACAGTAGATGTGAAGCAGGGCAGAGTTTGATGTGACCAAAGATGACTGAAGCTAATTTAAAAAATAACCCCAGAGCCAGAGTTGGACTCAGAGCTGACTTATGGAGGCTTCATGCTGTGGGGTAGTTTGAAACCTTGGCTAGTGCAGCACAGAAGGAAGGGCAGGCTTTGAAACCCAAAGACAACTTGAGGACATGAAGTATTAGATGAAGTGCCTGTTGTCAAGCCAGCCCTTCATTTAGTGTCTGTTATTCACTGTACACCTGCATTAGGTCTTTCTTTACTCTGGTGGCAAGGTCTAGTGAAAGGATAGTCAGTGTTGCTTCAAAGGGTACCTCAGTCTGGCAAGATAGTAACTGAACTATCTATTGCTTTTGCAGATCTTGTACCTCATCTGGAAGCTCCAAGTTCTCTCACACCCAGCAGTGAACTGAGTAGCCCGGGCCAAAGTGAGCTCACCAACATAGATCTAGCAGCTCTTTTCTCTGACACACCTGCTAACAGTGGCAATTCAGCACCTGGGTCGGATGAAGCCTTGAACTCTGGGATCCTTACCATTGATGTCACTTCTGTGAGCTCCTCTCTGGGAGGGAATCTCCCTTCTAATAATAACTCCCTAGGGCCCATGGACCCCCTCGTTCTCGTGGCCCACAGTGATATGCCTCCAAGTTTGGACAGTCCTCTTGTTCTTGGGACATCAGCCACAGTTCTCCAGCCAGGCAGCTTCAGTACAGATGATTCTCAGGCCATGAGCACAGGAGCAGTAGGCTGTCTGGTAGCTCTGCCTGTGAGGAACTTGGGTCAAGACCCACCAGCTTTGACTCCCAGCAGTAACTTGGCAGCTCCTGACGCCGCACCAACCTCTTCAGGCACTGCCCAAGAGACTGCCAGAGTCCCAGATCTGCTGGTTCCAATAAAGGTGGAACAAGACTTGCCTCCTGTCCCAGATGTGGTCCAGGGGCAGGAAGAAAGTCACAGGCCATCCCAGTCTATGCTGTCCAGCTCTGCAGAGAAGCCAGGGGCTCACAAGGACTCAGAGTTCAGTGCTGGCACCGGCAGCCTCTACTTGGTATGAAGCACTCTATTCCGTCACCACCACTAGCTCACTCCCCTAATGCACCTTGGATCATGTTTGGGATGAACCCTGTCTATGCAGACGGTTCTTTCTGGTGTACAGAAGGACAGATGGAGCCTGGGCAATAGTCTGGAAGCCTGACTGACTTTGACTCTGGAATTGACATTCTTGCAGCTTTGTGCAAATCACTTAACCTATCTGAGCCTTAAATCCTCAGTTATTTCTAAAATAAGGGTTTGGGCTATATGGTTTCTAAGGTTCTTTTGAGTTCTGTGAGAAAACTTGAGGCATTTCCTACTATTGAAATGTTCACCTTCATGCTTTTCACATAGTGATGAGTCCTAGAAGAGCAATGTTGACATCAATCATCTTAACTGTTCAGTGAGAACTTAAAAGCTATGTCAGGATATTTTTATTAGAATTAAACAGTGGTTCCTGAGCCTTCATTCTTGAAGGATTATAACAATACTCCAATTTTGAGGCTGGACAGTTATTGTATTCTATATTTATATCAATTATACCTTTAATATAATTTAAAGTAACTTAAAGATTCCTAGAGCGAGTCTGACTTTCCTCAGTCTATGATAGAAATGATCATATAGGTTTCTCTGTAATGCTGGTTAAATTTTGTTTTAACATTTATTATGTTAAAATTCATGCATCTTACCTTACTTCATGCGTGAGGGTACCTAGTAACCAACCTACTGGAGCCAGCTTGTATTTCTGTCAATGTGAGAGCAGCACAGTCTTTCCATTTCTGGTTTCTGGATTGTTGGTGGCAGAGCTTCACTTGCCAGCATCTGTTTAGGCTGCCACAGCAGTTGCTAAGAGCAGCAGGTGACTAAACAGGGACTGGAGGTAACCACAGCTCAGAGTGCGTGGGAAGCCTGTCCCTGGCACTCCGTGCCTTCCTGTGTCTCAGAGCCTAGCTGTGGGTGGAGGTGGAAGAGCCGGCAGAGCTTGGCTTGGCCTGGGTCGTTCTCTTGCTAGCTGTGTGGCATTGGGCTCCCTTGCTTCTCTGAGTGGGAATGGTGTTGTGAATGGGTTTTTGCATGCCATGAGCTGTAGAGGCTGGTTTCTTTTGCACCTTTTAGTTTTATGAATGAATTTTTTTTTATTAAGTGTTCACAAATTTTTAAATATTCTATCTGAATACTGTTTCTCTGGCACCTCAGGAGGTTTGCTGAATTCAGTGACACTTTCTTTATTGGCATATGACAGTGTGGCATTTGCTGCCAACACTGTCCAGGGCTGCTGTGACATAACCCAGGCATCAAGAAGACTTGTGTTTTAGGGAACAGAACAGTGTGCAGATCTTAGCAGCCTCTCTCTAAAATATTTAAAGTGTGTTTAGACCTTGGAGGAATGACCTTCACTTTTCCAGATGATGAAGCTATGTGCATTTTTCTGTGCTAACAATTGAGCGTGTGATTTCCCAAGTGCCTTGCTGGTGACTGATTCCTGGAGCTCTGATACATTCCTGAGGCAGGCTTAGGATGGTTCTCTAATCCCCTTGCTACCCTTCCTCTGCTGTTTAGATCAAGCAACTGACACACTTTTCTTTGGTCCCAGGAAAGTGGGGGCTCAGCAAGAACTGATTACCGAGCCATTCAACTAGTCAAGAAAAAAAAGCAGAAAGGAACTGGGAGCGATGAAGGTGAGGCCGAGTGTGCTGCAGTGCTGGTGGACAAGGGACTAAGGTCTCTTGTGTCACAGTCACAGGCAGAGGAAGCACACAGAACAGTTGTTTCTGTGTTCTTTGTCTTCTATGTTCAAAATGCCCTTATATCAATTCCTTAGCTTTATGTAAACTTAGAAAACAGGTAGTAGACAGACCTCAGCATGTCTGAACATGCTTGACAGGCCTAAAGAGACTATAGGGAAGTCAAGGGTTCAAACAAGGTGTCAGTTCTATAAGGCTACTGAATAAATGAGCCAAGCTGGCCAGGTGTCAGGAAAGCAGGACGGTAGTTGGATGCTGAGTTGGGCCTGGTCTTGTGTTGGAAACCATGGGCTAGGATGGCCGTTGTCTGTAGAACAGCTATATGAAGGCAGCCTATACACAGCAGTGTCTGGTTGAATCAGCCTGAACCTTTAAGAGTAACAGCTCACTTGAATAAGAAAATGAAATAAAATAGTATCCCATGGGCTAGTTAAGTCTGTGAGATTGAAGGTACAGTGCTGAAAGGAGACTGGCAAATCCTGTTTAATGTCAGCAGGGCTCTTTGGTGTTCTCAGGCATCATTCATCTTTACATTTACTTAAATTTAGTTGGTGCAGTTTTAGTCTTTCTGTTCTTATGTCATAGCTTCGATTTAAAATAACAGTTTTCTTCAAGCAGATGTTTCCTTGTGTACTTGTCAGTGTCATTTGTGACTTAGAAAGGACAGTTCTGTGGCTCAAGAATCTGAAACTTGTAGTGTAAAATTGCAGGGAAAATAAAAGAAAGGGGAAGTGGAGTGCTGTAGAAAAAAATGATCACATCTAAGCCAAATTCATTAAGGAAGTCAGATGCCTTTATTGAGCCCAGTAGTAATTGTGTTGGAGGAAAAGGAGTGCTTCAGACCTCAGGTACATACAGAGTTTATCGCACTCAACCACGCTGAGGCAGTATCTACAGAGATAGTTATTTATCATTTGCAGTATGAAATTTTAAAAGTCTCTTTTAAAACTGACATTTTTTCCTTAATATTGGTATTTGGCAAATGTTGAGGTTTTCAGTTGTCTAAATGTTATACCTGCAGCTGCCACCTTTTGGCATCAGAATCCACAGAGGAGTCAGGCTGTTCTTGGCAACCAGTTATCCTTCTGGTTTAGAGCCATAGTGCTCTCTCCCTCTCTCTCCCACTCTTTCCCATGTTTTGTGGAATGTTGTGTGGGTTGGTCTTTTCTGTGTGTTCAGGTGGCTTGTGCAGCTTGCCTCACTGGTGTAGTTGAGCACTTCTCTCATTGTTGTGTGTTTTTCTAAATTTGCTATTACATCTTGAGACTTGATCTGATTGATTCTTTGGGGGAGAAGAGGGTTAGAAAAACTGAAGTGGTGCTGGAGTTACAGGTTATGAGGTGGCACATGGGTACTGGGAATCAAACCTTGGTCCTCTGCCTGTGCTTTTAACTATAAAGCTGTCTTTCTATCCAGGAAGCAAGAACATGCTTACAGGCAGGGCATTCTAGGGGCCTAGGTCATCTGGCTGATTGTTTACCATGCACTGCAGATTCCCTGTTTCTCATGCTTTCAATAGATTTAACACTAGACAATGAGTTTTGACTGTAATAGTATGACCCTGACATTGTGCAGGCGATTTGTATTTCCTGTGTTTAAAAATTAGGGTTCTTCTACAGAAATGAGCTCTCTCTTCCCTCTCACTGGTGTACTCCATCAGACTCAGCATAGACTCAGAGGCCTATGTCTTAAGCTATTCCCAGTATCAAGTTATAGTTTGACTAGCATTGATTTTGTTTTCTGAGTATCCTGTCTGTAGCCATTGGGAGTGCCTGCAAGTCGATTCTTGTGCCCTCCCAACGTACCCTATCCTGAACTCATTTTGTCCTGTATTTGTCCTAGCCGACAGTTAACCGATTCTCCAGAGAGCCCTGGTTCCTTTACTAGAGACTGGTATTTACAACCAGGATGTGGATCCAAGACTGTGCTGGCTGCTGGTGAGCTGTATACACTAGGTTCTTAATGGCCAGTGCTAGGAAATATTTATAAATATCATGTTAGTCAATCTGAGCTGTGTTCTCTATGCAGAATGTTATAGGGTTGTTTTGTTTTGTTTTTGAGGGTATGTATGTAGTATTTCACACTCCTTGTTACTACATTGGTGTTTATCAGTGAAACATTCCTCTACATGGGATCAGCTCAGAATAAGTGGCTTCACATCAGGTAGGTTTTGCTATTATTGTGGCACCAAGTCTGAGGGGGAAATTTAGGTTTCTTGGGTGTCTGCATTTTGACATTGTGATCAGAGATTATGAATTGTATTTAAGTCTGAGCACAGAGTCCCAGTGTAACTGCACTGTTGTGGAGTCCAGGCTTTAACAAACAGAAAGACATTGTTACTGTAAATGTTAGGCCCACACTTCATGTACACTCTCAGAAAGTATGTGGTCTAAAATCCAAGGCTTTGTTCCCAGTGTGCTGCTGTTCAGAGTATATACAAGAGCACTGTCAGAATCTTCAGCTCAGATGTTGAGCTGCTCCTAACAGAATCGCCAATGTAAGAATTCTCAGTGTGAGAATATCTTTGGAGAGGGAAGGTCATTACTAGAAATTGAACTTAGGTCATTGCACATAGTAAGCAGTGAGCAGTGACTCTAAGGGCAGGGAAAGGAAAGAAAGCATGGTGCTAATTAGAAGGAATAGTAAACAACAAGGCACGTGTAATCAAAACCCAGGGGCATCTGTGTCACCATGAAAACATAAACAACTCTTAAGTGCAGTGCCAGGAGACAAAGATTGAATACGTCTAAGCAAAGTACACCCTTATCGAAATGTATGGAAGGCAAGAGTGACTGAAACAAGCTCCAAAGCAAGGAGAGGTTGTTGTCCATGTGTGGTCCACAGCAGAGCTAAAGAACATTTATTGTGAAAGCTTAGATATCTTAAGTAGTATAAGATGAAATCTGATAGAAACCTAGTGGAGAGCATGAGTAAAGGCTCAGAAGTATTGAAAATGACTCACTTAGTTTGTTTGCTACAGACTGAATGGAAACAGTGAAGCTGTGAAGGAGGTTTTATTCATGGGATTAATGAAGTTAATTTACTAGATTCTAGCCCATATCTAGTGTTTGTAGAAATAATACAAGGAATGAGAAATGAAGAAAATACAACTTATTTCTTCATAGGGAAAGTTTTCTAACCATTTGTATAAATCACAGAGTAAAATTCATTTGGAAGCCAAAATAAAGCCTGCTGAGCTGGGTAGCAGAAGGGAGGGGGAAAAATTGCCTAATTGCATTAAAAAAGGATAGCCGTGGAGTTTCTAGTTTGAACCCTTGAACAGTAGCAGCACTTGATTGGGGTCTCTTGTGGAGATTAAACTACAGCCATAGGGCACTTGGAGTATAAGCTAATGATGACTTGCTGCATGTGAACCAGGGATGTGGCTGAAAGATAAATACAGATGTATGTACAGCAGCCTCCTCTTAAGAATAGAAAGCACAAGATGAAAAACAAGCACATAACAGCTAGTCCTGTGTAACATCTGTTCAGGTTGGAACTTTTGGCTTGGGTGGAACAAAGCATATTCTTAAATGTGCACAGCTATTTAGGCCTTCAGTTTCCATTTCTGAGGCACTTGAACCAAGGAAAAACATCGAAAGAAAGTTGCACCATCAGTGGAAACAGAAATAAACATGTCACATACACTGTAGTCATATAGTACGTGCAATAGCACACCATTCTAAAAGACAAATGTGAGCACTGTAACATGGAAAAATTATATGTGTCAGTCTATTGTGCAGTTTTCTACATACCTTACTCTACCTAGGGTATGGACAGCAAGGACTGTCACCACACAGAATGGCCATAGAAGCTTCCTTAAAAATAATAGATAAAATGTTCTGACCAGCATCCTGAGCATCTTGTATTGACTATATTCTGACTAAACAGGGTCAGAAACTACCTAATGGTAGATCTGTTAATGAGTCACTCATAATCAGAGGCCAGTGAAGAGTCCTACTGTTTTCTCAATAGGTATGTGTGTGCAAGGCTAGAGGAGGGAACATCAGCTCTCCCACACTTATCACTCCCTTGTTTCCTGAGACAGAGCCTTTTAGAGCTAGCCCTCTGTCTTTTAGCTAGGCCCAGCAATTCTGTTTCTGTGCCTTCCCCTCCTTCCATTTCTGGGGTTGTAGGCATGCTCAGCCATACCCAGCTTATTGATGTTGTCTATGGGGATGCAAACTTGGACCCTGATGCTATATAGCAAGCACTCCTAACCACTGAGCCATCTCTCCAGCCCTCAACAGATCTTAAGTTGCATTTCTATAAAATTTAATAGGCATTCTGCTGAGTGTGGTGTCACACATGCCATAACCAGTACTCAAGTGGGGATAAGGCTTCAAAGTTGTCCTCATCTCCCTGGTGAGTTTGAGACCAGCAGCCAGCACCCACTCACTGCTGTGCTCCAATGGCATCCTACAGGTGTGCCCAGGTCATTTAGAAATCACTCCTATTCCTATTCTTGTCATAGGTGTTCATGTTCTTCTGGAGGGCCTTCCCTTGGAAATAAGCCAAAAATAGAACTAAGGTGGATGCTTTGGAGTAGATATGGTAATTTATAGGTGACTTCACTATTGGTTAAAAAGCCCAAGAGATTCAGCTAAAAAATTAGTAAAGGAGATATTTAGTGTCCAGTCAGTAAAGAAATATCTGCCCTCTGGAATTCTCTAAAGGGCAGCAATAGGCAGTGAGGAAATGCGGTTACAGGATCACGGCAGCTCCACAGGAGGAAATTTCACAAGCAGGCAGGCATTCTCCTACATGGAGAAGACAACAGAAGTTAGCCAAAAGGCAGAAAAGGTTTACTCCCTGTTGGTGTGGCTTCTTCCCACCCATACACCAGGGAAAGGTAAACAGTAGATTCCCAGTCTATTGAATGGAATGGAAGTACCTGATGAACAAAGCCTGGGTAAATCAAACAGTGAAATTAATGAACCAGGAAGGGATCAGAGAAGGGCTGTAGTTCTCAATAGGGGAGACAGGAATGCATCAGAAAAGATAAAACCTGGAGATGAGAATGTACCACAGGGATGGAAGCAGGTGGTTGGCAGTCTAGGAAGGGCCTGAGGCTGCAATGTTGTTGGCCGGTCCAAGAAAAAGGCTGACCTCACTAGGGTGTAACAGGGCAAAGCGAGAACAGAGGCACTAAGGTGACCCAGCTGTTACTCCCTGTAAGCCATGGTCACACCTCTGGTCTTCACTGAGAGTGGAAAACAGAGGGTCATTAGAAAAGGGACATGATATCTTTTGTTGTTGTTGGTTTTTGTTTTGTTTTGTTTTGTTTTTGAGAGAGGGTTTCTCTGTGGCTTTGGAGGCTGTCCTGGAACTAGCTCTTGTAGACCAGGCTGGTCTCGAACTCACAGAGCTCCACCTGCCTCTGCTTCCCGATTAAAGACGTGAGCCACCAATGCCCGTCTGGGACATGATATCTTAAAAGGCCATTCCACCTGTTCTTTTGACAACAAACTGACATATGTCATGAATGGGAGGAAACAAAAACAGCTAGGGACTTCTGTGGCCATCCAGCTGAAGCAAGAGTGGCTGGGGTCAGTGGTATCCAAATAGTGAGAGGGATTTGGGCCCCGCCTTGAAGTAGGGACCCTTAGAACTGGGTGTGATGAAAAGGAGTGTTACAGGCCCAACACTTAGCCCCGAAGGTAGTGACACTATTTCACTTGACAGTACAAGAAGGCTTGAAGACAGAATGAACCCCCAAGTAAGAATGCTCAAGAAAGCAAGGGAAATGTCTAGAGACTACACTGTAGATTTTCAAGCCTGTCACATGTCTACCACAGTAGCCCAGCAGGGAAAGAATGCTGGTGTATCATGGGCAGAGTCATAAACCAGAGCATAGGACATAGAAACAGCTAGGGCCTGGTCCATTCTTACATGTAGCAGAGGTGACCCTGTGTACTTCTAACAATTGAATGCTGACCTTTGTGGATTTCAAATGGTTTAGGGCTTTTGAAAAACTAACCACAGCCAGCACTTAACTACACTGTGTTCTACCTGCTATAGTAGAAGGACCCATTTGGTCTCCACAGTCACCTTGGCAAGCTAGGCAGGGAGGCAGTTCTTCACATGTTATACATGTGCTGGCAGGAGGCCAGGAACAGAGGCTTGGTAAATACATCTTGCAGCAGATTTGACCAGAAGACACATCTGATGGGAACTGAAGGTGGTGAGGCAAATGAGTACCACCATGAGCAAGTGTTTGCAGAAGACTACCAGCAGCTGCATCCAAGGAGGCCCTCTTGAAGAGGACCTAATGTGTCTACAGGGTCATTAGGCAATGGTTCTGAGAGGAAAAAAAATCAAAACTGGGTAATGATTCCATGTGTAGCTGCACCTTACTGTTTAGCTTATGAAGATACCAGGAGCCCGTGTAAAGGAACCGTCTGCCAGCTACTGTTCTACCAGAATTTTTGATAGGAGAATATTTATAACTCAAATGTACGTCAACAAAGCTGTACACTTTGCGAATGTTTTTGATAAGTCAGTCTGTAAGAAACAGTGGGTGTGCGGATAGACACGTTTGTGTATATACTTACATAGAAGTTAGGTAAGACATGTCCATGCATGGGTAGTCATTTCCCCAACCCTGGGTGTAAAGATTGTGAATATTTTATTGTGGTCATTTCTGCTTTTTGTATTTGATAATACATCGATTTTGTAATTTTAAAAACTGAAGTTAAAACTGTCACGTTACAATAGCAAGCAGTAGGGTAGCCATTCCTCCTGGATAGCTTATGAAGCTTTCTTGGAGACTCTGGTGTCACTAGTACATGGAAATTGTGATTCCCTTCTCAGAGAGGCAGGAAAAAGAAACCAAGGTGGGCATGTGCTTTCCTCTCCTTTGCTTTGGCACCCCTGAGGTGACCTGCTAGTCCCAGCAAAGCCTAGCCCGTGCCCAGAGAACTATGTGGCTGTGCCATGTACATATATCTGAAAAACTCAAGTGAGTTACTGGCTGAGTTACTTGAGTCAGTGATCTCATCTTCCTAGTAATTTCTTCACTTTAACACAAGTATCTTTGGGCATGTGTATCACAGATTTCTCCACTCTTTCTTTGGCTGCCATCATGAATGAAGATGGGGCTCCTTGAAGGAAGAGGTTTGCTGTCAGCCCAGGAGTCACATTGCTATCACTTCTCTGGAAATTTAAGTACAAAGCACTGGTTGGGTTTGGATTTCATGGGGATGTCATTTATCTATAGGAACTTTGTCCCACCTTATGGGCCACACACACACACCTAGATCATACAGGCCTGTGGTTGAAGTGGCTTTTTGGAACCAAAGCAGAGTGTGGGCTTTACAATGTTACCATATGGTCTGTCCATTTGCCCGGGTGCCTGCTCCAGCTGTACCTAGTCTCTTTTGTGTGTCCAAGGTTGGTAAAGCTCCTTTAGTCAGTGGCCTTTGAGGGCTGTTGAATGGCTGCTCTCTATAAGACCCTGACTGTAAATGATCTTGGGTGGGCCCTGGTCATCTCTGTTCTAAGTCTGAACGCTTTCACTCTCCTGAGTACAACTTTTGTTTTGGCGGGTGGCTTCATGAGAGATTTTTTAAGGCAGGGAAAGATAGCACTGTTCCACAGTGCTAGAGGTGAGCCCATAGTCCTAACCTCAGGACTCTCCTTTAGCCTTGTGAGTCTATCATTTTCATTTCTATTCATGTTTGTGCTTTTTTAGTTTATTAGGCTGCTTTACTTCTGGGACAGTCTGTACCCCAGTTCAAATGTCTTCTGCAGGTTCACTTTGTTCTTATCTCCCTTCCTTGCTCTTGGTGATTGAGAATGAAAGCAGTCCTTTGATGGTAGGTTCCCAACCTTAACCTTAAAACAGCATCATCTTTGCCACATGCATTATCAGGGAGATGATTGATAGAGCCAAGGGGTGCCCCTTGCCAACTCTACATAGTTCCAAAGGCAGGTGTAGTTGGGATGCACCATCTGCTATCTCAGCCCATAGTTCCTTTCTGTGTGAGGAGGTCTGGCTTCATAGGATGAGTGTGATGTTTCTGCAGAAATTCTTGTAAAATGGTTGAGACAGACCAAAAGGTGCTGGAATAGATGTAAATGTATATTCTGTTCACATCCATTTTATTTAACATGTTTGCTGGAGCAAAATAGGGCTCTGGGTGTGAGGTGCAACAGCCACTGACCTCCAGGACACAATGCTCGCCTATGCTCAGGCCTTGATTTGTAGTCAAGACCTTCAGCCTTCATGCCCTTAGAGACTACTACCCAGGCTCTCTGAGTAGCACCTGGAACCTGATCCTGAGATCATAAGAGATGAGGTTCAGGAGGGTGGGACCAGACAGACTGTTATTGTATGGCAGGGGCTATCTCCCTTGTCTGTCTCTTTGCCCTGTTCTTCTTCTAGACTCTGGTGACACCATTTTCCCTTGTCCTTTCTCTTTGGTATGGGATAGTCCTTTGCTTCTGTGATCACTATTGATATTTGCTTCTCAGTGATAAGTGCCACTGTGCTCAAGTGGCTGCTTGCTGTGCTGCCTTCAGCTGTGGTCAGATTCTTCAAAGTCTTCTTTGTCTCCATTGTTGTCTCCACAGTGATGTAGTGGTGGGAGCAAGGTATGTTGTAAAGGGTCTCGTTACATAGCCCAGGCTGACCCAAACTACCCTGTCTCTTAAATGCTGTGTCTGGTATGAAGCACTGTCAGCTACTACTGCATTTTGATGATAGGTTTGCAAGCCATTGGGAGCTCTAGGATACATGATGAAGATGCAGGAAATACCTGCTAAATGAGTAATAAAATATACACAGATCACTAGCCATGGAACACATTTCAAATAGTTATATTTGGTACACATATAAAATACTCCTCATATTAAACCTGATAGAAATGTCATATCTAAGGCTTTCTGTGCACCTGGCCTGGTTCTGAGCCATTGTGTTGTATCTATTACCCAATCCTAGTCCTTCCTGTTACCCCATTTCTGGAGGAGGAGCTTGGAATATGGAGCAGTAATAGCTAATGAGGATCAATACCAGGACTAGAATCTAAGGCAGACTGGCCCCAGGATTTCTGTCTGCCCTCCCTCAGGTGAAGAGGACTGTGGGGATTAAGTAAGGCTGGTCTAGAGCTTCAAGGAACTCCTGGTTAGTTAGACTGCCTGTCAGCATGATTGGCCACATCAAAGACTGGAAAACCATGGTGTCTCTACAAACACACGGTTGGTAAAGTCACAGTCTTTCAGGCCTTAATCAACTGAGAACTCAAGAGGTCCCCCTAATAATATAGTGGCCATCACCATTTTTATTAGAGAGCAGCCAAGGACAGTCACCTCAAAATCTAGGAAAGACATCTAGCCAGAATTATGGCAGTATTTGACTCTGGTGGGAGGTTTGCAGAGGTTGGTGAAGTGGGGGACATGGGGATTGTTAGCATGATGCTGTCACTGAACTTGGAAAGTCCATAGGCTTTAGTGCAAAGCATGAATAGTCTGAAGACACCTGTGGAAACTAGTGGCACTGTGATGGGTCACTCAGCTCATTGCTCTTCTGTTAAACAGGAAGAAGATAGTGGAAAAACTAAGGTAGTAACAATAAGAACAAAAGTGAGCCATTCTAGGGCCTAAAGTGACAAGCCCAGGCAGTATAAGGTCTGCCAGATTTTTGGCAGGAAACATTCAAGTTATGTGGATAGGCATATTTTGTTCAGTTCCTTAAAAATCTCAAAATCCAACAACCAAAAAGATAAAAATCCACCTGTCAGTTTTAAGTTTACTGGGAAGGATAAATAAGGAAGACAGATGGGTAGGCAAAGGAAAGGAAGGAAGGAAGGAAGGAAGGAAGGAAGGAAGGAAGGAAAAGAAGGAAAAGAAGGAAAGAAAGAAAATGAAAACTTGGGGCAACTATAAACTGGGCCGGGTGGCAAAGCCAGCTGCTGTGAGCACCTGGCTTAACAAAGTGGATGTCCAGCATGACTAGGATTGGCTTCTCTGGAAACATGGATTCCTTACACTCTTTCCCTTGCAACTACTGCACTGAAAAACAGCGAAGCGAACCTTATACATGCAGTTTAGAGTACACACACACACACACACACACACACACACACACACACACACACACACACACTCAGCCATGTCCATATTTTTGTGTCAAGGAAGCATGCTAGGTTAATAAGAAACGTAAAAGCATAGAAGTGTACTTGTGTATAGTTCTGTGCTGAGTGAGATGTTGTGTATGTTTAAGAAGTGGTGACAGGAAGCTTCTTGGTGTGACAGGCCCAGCCCCAACCCTGACCTGCTAAGAAGAGAGAGAAGTTAGGCAGGAAAACTGTACATAAACCATCAGGGATTTTGAACAGAGACCCTAGCAGATGAGTTGAAATTGTAGTGGAACCACCTCACCCTGCAATGAGGGAGAGTTCGGTCTCTGCTTCCAACATGGACTCTCTTCACCTTGTCCATCAACCTGGTTAATATTTGCCCTTTAAGAAAGGGTTCCTCGATGGGCAGTGGTGTCAAGCACTTTAATCCCAGAAATTGGGAGGCAGAGGCAGGTGGATCTGTGTGAGTTCATAGCCTCAAAGCTACACAGAGAAACCCCGTCTCAGAAAGGAAACAAGGGAGAGGGAGGGAGGGAGGGAGGGGAGGGAAGGGAAGAGAAGAAAGGCTTCCTCAGCCCCTTGCCCTCAAGAAAGCATGCTGTGGGAGAAGCAAAGGGAGAAGCAAAGAGCCACCATGCCTGTGGTTCCAGGTGTCATACCAGCCACAAACATGAACACTCAGGACACCACCTTCACAAGGTGCTAGTAACCTTTGGTCGTGAGGTAAGCAGGTCCATAGGATCCATCGGCCTTGCATAGGGCCATGGTTTGTTTGGTTCGGTTTAGTTTGGTCTGGTCTGGTTTGGTTTTTCAAGCCAGGGTTTCTCTGGCTGTCCTGGAACTCACTTTGTAGACCAGGCTGGTCTCAAACTCACAGAAATTCACCTGCCTCTGCCTCTGCCTCTGCCTCTGCCTCTCTGCCTCACCTCTCTGCCTCTCTCTGCACCTCCTCTCTGTGCCTCTCTCTCTGCCCCTCTCTCTGCCCCTCTCTCTATCTCTCTCTATCTCTCTCTGCCTCTCTCTGCCTCTCTGCCTCTGCCTCCCAAGTGCTAAGATTAAAGGTATACACCACCATTGCCAAGCCTCCATGCAAAGAAGGAAGGAAGGAAGGAAGGAAGGAAGGAAGGAAGGAAGGAAGAGAAGGAAAGAAAGAAAATGAAAACTTGGGGCAACTATAAACTGGGCCGGGTGGCAAAGCTAGCTGCTGTGACACACCTTTGTGTGCAGAGTACTAAAGCTTCTGAGCCTTCTGCCTGCCAGGGGCTGTGGGAGTTTAGGGACTTGGTAGAAAGGCTACAATAGTTTGGTAAGTTTTCCACTAAAATCTGGTGGGTTTGTCTGTTTTACCTCTTGCCTCATGAAAATTCCTTTGGAACAATTTTCAAGTCAGTAAAGCTGTATTGGATGATGGGAACCAAGAAGGTTTTTCCTCATGAGTCCTCAGTCAGGGCCAGAGCCCAGTCAGGGAAGCATGTATTAGATGTGCTGTTTTTATCTGCTTTGTTTTAGGAGCCTCTGAGTCTGCTCATGGGAAAATGAAAGGCAGCGTGGTCAGTCCTCCTCATGTCCACTCAGGCCAGCACAGTTGCTTTTGTGGAAACCTCATGGTACCCAGTGGAGGTCTGCCAACACCAGCCCCTGCGGCTGGGCTGCAGTGTGTCCAGATCCCTGTTCTGCAGGTAGGAAACACCCACGCGGATATTGAGGTCTTCAGGGGCAGGATGGTGGAGGGGTGGCCACTGCCCTCTCAGTAAACTGCCCCAAGTCCCCTGACCTGTGCCAGCCATCTTAATAACCCCAGCCTCTCTCTTCTTCCCAGCCTGTCTCACTGCATCTGTGCAAGCCCTTGCCTTTGTTAGGACTGACGTATCAGGTTTGTGGCACTGTGTTACCCTGTGTCTAGTCCCCTCAACCTGGTCCATCTTCCCCATATCCCTTGGAGGCACACATGGCTTGTACCCCTGTCCTGCCAAGGCCTGATTGGGACCATTATGTGCAGGCTGGAGGCATCTAAGACTCCCAGGCTGGCCCTGTGTAAGCCTCACAGCTGCTAGTATTCATGCTACCCCACCTCTACCCAGACTCTCCTTTAAGCTCTCCTTAGACTGCTCTGGCCATGCTTCTGGGCGCCACTCCCTGCACACCAGCTGGTGCAGGCTTTCATGTAAAAGTGGTGGGGCGTCTTGATTTTCTGCTTTCTCTTTGGTCACTGAAGATAAGGTTCTGCCACCTATCTGGGGGCTCAGCAGGCCTATATTTGACAGCCATCTATGGGAGCTCACTTCCAAATCCCTCAGCAGCCCCATACATACCTGCACTCCCAGGATGACCTCTGAGGAGGTGAATGGGGAAGGAAGGGGTTTGGAAGTTGAGGGATCTGACTGTATCTGGCCCAGTCACACACACACACCTACATGTTGCACATCACTTAGGGCTACAGATAAAACTTCAGGAGGCCAGTGCAAACCTAGATGTCAGAGTCTGAGGGTGGAGCTGTCCCTGTTACTTCGAAGAACTTAGAGACAGGCAAGGTTCACCATGAAGAAAAGAGGTGGGACTGGGGTAGAAGGCTGTGAAGTGCCTGCAGGGTTCAGATAAATGGGGGGTGGGGTGGCAAAGGCTGACCTGGGAAATAGGCAATGAAAGGGTTCTAGACCAAAAAAGAAGCAGGTGAGGGTTTGATGGGCAGAGACTCAGGCTTATGTGTAGCAATCAGCTTAAAATTATGCCCCTTCCACTTAGTTTGACCCAATGGTAGAATAGCTTGAAACTGTGGGAAAGAGTAAGGACTCCCTAGAGATAGGGACAGTGAAAGAAGTGGATGCTTGTCCCAAAGGAGAACCACAGTATGCAGGTCAGCTTGCAGAAGATGCTCCAGAAATGCAGAAAAAAGAGCCCACTGGAAAGATTTATACCACCTAGGTATAAATCTCTCACCTGTCCATTGACAGCTAATGTTGTCTTGGGCAAGTGGCTTTAGCATACAGGTTCAGTTTTGTTGTCATGAGGTGGAAACAGTAGCACTCAGAAGGTCCTTGTGGCAGTGGAAGGATGGAGTGCATGGGCACAGGGTGCTCAATTTGGGGGTGGTAGGCAGCTGTAACTGAATGTGCACATGAGAGGGCTAAACCATTATTTCCTGGCTTGCTTCTGGGGACCTGGCAGCCTCCTCCTCTCAGGGAGCTGTCTACTCTCAGGTCTCTTGTTTGGCTCATGGGAACAGAGAGAAGGCCTCCCCATGGGCTTGAAAAAGTCCTAGGGCATCCATGCAGAATTTAGGACAGTGTTGTTGTCCTAACAAACAGTGCTGTTGAGACTGGGAACAGTTTTTGAGTGTTGAAATAGTAAACATAGGGAGTCAGGCTGCAGAAGATTCCAGACTAAGCTGAATCTTGGGCTGGGTTTGAAGTGAGAGAGATGGAGGGGCCAGTGCCCCTGCTTCCTGATGGACCAGTGTGTGATGATTCTTGCTGCCTCTCTAGGATGACTCCTCGGGTGAAGGAGGCTTGCCACTGGCCCTCAGCCCACAGCGCTCTGCCTTCCACCCCTACTTCACCGTGGATCTGCCTGTCTACGTCCTCCAGGTCTGGGTGCCTACTGTTCTTTCTTTTCTCATTAGACCTCATCACAGGTTTCCCATGTCAGAAGGCTATGGCATGGGTTATCAGCTGCCTTAGACCTGCCCTAGAGGCACACTGGGTTCGTGGTCAGGCTAGCCACCTTGCACTTTTTGAAAAGTTAGGGTTACAGCTTCAAATAAGGTTTGGTCGATACTGCAGTGTCTGCCTGTAGATCGGGTGAAACTTAGTGTAGCTGTGTAGATGAATGGTTAAGCTGAGAGTAGGTAGCCACCAATGTAGCTCTAGGTCTTAATAAAAGTCACTTATCAGGCTGCCAGCCTACCTCAGAAATGTCAGTTCTACTAAGCCCCTCAGAAGATGGCTACTAAAGAATGGAAATGTGAGCCAGATATGATAGATGTAGATGTCACCCAGTAATCAGGAGACCAAGGTTGAAGAACTGCAAATTTGAGGCCTCTTGGGCCACATAGCAAGAACCTGTATCTACAAAACATAGAAAAGGGAGGAAGAAGATGTGGGGTGGTAGGGAGGAGAGAAAGAGGCAGTGAGGGAGGGAAGGTGAGTTACAGACTACTGGTGACCTCAATGAGACCTGCCCACTGCAGCTTGGAGTCTACAGTACTAAAGTAGGAATGCTGAATTCTAGCAGGAGAGTGACAGGTACCACCCATGGCCATCTCCCTGGGTGGGCTGCCTATTGCATGTGGGGTATAAGAGATGATATTGGGTTTTGGGTTTTTTTTTTTTTTTCCAGGAAAGTACATATATTCCTGGGTGCTTGAATATATGTGGACCCATCAGTGGGCCTAGGGAGGAAAATCTGGAAAAACAATGGTTGACTTTTTTTTTTTTTTTGTCTTTCTTGAGACAGGTTCTCACTATATAGCCCTGGCTAGCTGGCCTGGAACTCACAGAGATCTGCCTGTCTCTGTCTTCCTGAGTTGGGATCAAAAGAATGTGCCACCATACCTAGCACATTGTTCTCTGAAGGGACATAGGATGTGGAATAGGTCTCTGCTGTGCCTTCCCCTTGTGTTTGCAGTCCACCCCTCCTCACTTTTCTGCTTGGTTTTGCAGGAGGTGCTTCCAGCATCTGGAGGTTCTGCTGGGCTGGAGGCTGCCCAGGTACCAGGAAGCACTATCAACCTGCAGGACCTTCAGTGACAGCAGCTGAGCAAACAAGGAACATGTTCCAGGCTGCATTTCAAGACCTCAGATGACTGTGGTGTGGGCAGGAAGACCTCACTTGACTTCTGCTCAGCAGTAGAGCCTGATTCTTTGAGACTTTGGGGTACATGTATTCAAAGTGTTTTCATTCTGTTCCAGCAAGAGCCAATTTGGCCTGTGTTCTTTGAAACTGCTTCCATGGGTTGCCCTCTGTGAGATAGGCAACATGTCCATGCCATGTGTGTGCATTCCAGTCCTTTGCAGGTCCCCTTGGATCTGAGCTGGGTAGCACTTACTACATTAAAAGATCCCTGCAGGGAGTAGGTAGAGCATGGCTCCCTGCTCAGATCATCTCTGTACCAAGTCTGGACAGGACCTTCAATTGTAGTGTGTTAGCATTCTGCCTGAGACATCTAGAAATTCAGTTCTTTTCTGAGAGCTTGTGTGACAGACTGCTTTTCACCTCCTGGGATGGTATTAGTGGGCGTGTTGATTTCACTACACTGTATGCCATAGTGAAGTCAAATTCAGACTGAGCTTTAGTAGGTTACATAGGCAGTTAGTCTGAAAGGTGATTGGGGGTGGCCTGGTGCCTGCCAGTGGCCTGCTAGAAGGCCCTCTTCCTAGACTGACTGTGGGGCTCATAGTTTGGCAATGAAGAATTGTGACTTTTAAAGTCATTTTCTAAATTCTGTATTTGGGATTCTTGGTAAATAGTAACTTGTCTTCAGTCTCTACAGTGTGGTTCTGAATGCTGTATGTTATGTGTGGGGCTGGAATGATAGGCATGTTTTATGGTTGAGGTTAAAAATAATCATATTATGTGGCCTTGGCCCTGTGTGTTTTCACAGTGATTCTGTCTTCCCAGAGGAGATGGTTGCCTTGCACATATTTATTTGTTAGTTAAGACTGGATACAGGGTCACTCAGAAATGCATTTTTTTCTTGGGCCTTTTAGAGTGTGTGCTTATTCAGATAGTGTTTTGGTTTTGCCCCATCTGAGTTTCTTTGTTTCTTGGATTCAGGGAGGGCCCTGAGTTTGGGCATGAGTCCTCTTTGGATGGCTCTGTGGTGCCATATGCCTAGGTGCTGCTCCCTACAAGGGGATTATAAGTCCTACTTGAGGAGTTCCTTTCCACAGGTCTCTCCTGCATCACAGGTCAAAGTTTCAGGGCTGAACTTGCCCACTTGTCATCAGGGCCCTCCCCTCTCCATGGGCAGCCTGGTACCACTGTCACCTGCCGCAAGAGCACACTTAACAGAGAAGTTTCCTTCTCCCACAGCCTCCAATGTGTGTCTGCCAAGTGATATGATGGGCTGTTGTGTTCTGAGCACTGGAGCTTCCTGCTGCCGTGGGTCTGACTCTTAGTACAAATGAATAAAAGCGTTTGTATGTCATGTACCAAAGGTTTTGCTCTGGTTTCATTCAAGGTACTGTGCATGCTGTTGAGATTCTTGCCCCTTCTGCCCAGCTAGCTACCAGTTCTTTTGTCTCCAAGGGCCAATGACACCCTGCCCTCCTTGGAGACAGGTTTTGGGCTTCTCTCCAAGCAGCTATTTCTGATGAGAACCAGGATGGTGTTCTGTCCCTCAAAAATGCTTTGGGTGAAATGACAAAAGAAAGTTTCCAAGAGGCTTCCTTCAACAGGTTATTCAGACTCCCAAGAGACATGATTTATTTCCTGTGAGTAAAGGAGGCTGACAGGAGAGCATGAGATGGAGTTAGGGACCCCTCAGGCTCACAATGCCTGTCTTGACTAACTACTGACCTCTTCCTGAGCCCTCAGCCAGCTCTGCTGCTAAGTGAAGAAGAAGAGCATCTCCTCCTCTTCTTTGTTCATTACCAAGGGCTCAGACGCCTCCTTTATTCTTATGATTGGTGGACGGGAGCGGCATACCAATCTTCTGCCTCTCTGCAGGGGCAATAAACATGGTGAGCCTATGCTGGCTATGTAGATGCCATGCTGCCCACATCCCCTGCTATAAGGTTCAGGAAGTGCCCAGCAAAGCCTGGTCAGGCAGACCAGCCACTCAGGGGTGGTATTGACTAAAGGGACTTGGAGTGTGGATCAGCCTAGAAGTCACCATGCCAGCTCCATAGAGCACACTTTTTGAAGGGCAAGAACTAAAGTGCTTCCTAGCTCAGGGCTCCCAAAGGAGACCCTGCAGTGTGACAGAACACATTAGACACAGGCCTCTGAAAGTCAGTGATCACTCTTAAAAAGTGAGCTTTCTGGGACAGATTTAAGCTGTCTGTTCTGTGCCCAGCAACAGCCCTTGACTGATACCAATACCTAGCTCCTGCATGCTCTTTGTCACATACAACATGTTGAACTAAATCATGTGATATGAAACTTTCTGCCAGCCCCCCTAAACTTAGCTATTTCCTTTGTTCTTGGATTTGCTTAGGGAGGTTCTCTGAAGAGGCTTTTCTGCCCTGCCATCCCTCTTGTGGCAGCATGTGTTCTCTCTCTCTCTTCTCCTCTGCCCCTCAACCCCTTTTCTTAATGAAACTCCTCTTCAGGAAAGAGAAGCCTCCCCTCCCCTCCCTGCTAAGGCCCTGTTAGGTTTACACCTCCATATATTGTCCTGTTTTTGTCTAATGCTCTCCCTGCCATCTGAGTCCTAATCATGGCCTGGAATCCTAATGAGCTGCATCTTCAGCTTTGTTTCTGGACTAGGCACTGGAATGTTTAGAAGTATCTTATTATTAGCGGTGTTCATCTTTCCCAAGCAATGAAATGGGCAGCCATGTATCATAGACACCCACTAGCTTCTCTGTCTCTCAGGAGCCATGCTTGGCTATAGGCCTGCTTTCAGAGCTAGACTTTATGCTGTCACATCCAAAAGGCACAGGGCTGTCACAGTCCATTTTTTTATGGGGTGAGGTTTTGAGACCCAGAAGACAGGCCTAATAATAGGCAGTTGTCTGACCTAGAGTCTGTCTGGGGGCTGGACAGAGCAACAGGACCCTGAGACTGGATATTGGTGTGAGTGAGCATCTGCACTTGGCAGGGGTGTTTTGAATAGCACATCTGGGGGATTGGTTCTGGTGAGGACAGCCCTAGGGCAGGGGCACTACAAGTGCCTGGCTTTGGAGACTGCTCCACTCTACCTTGGCACTGAAAGCAATTGTCTGTTTCTTCAGCAGAGTGATTTGCCTTCTTTCAGGGAAGCCTTGAAGCTCAGGCTGGAGAGCCTAGGAGGTACACCCTAGAGTGGCCCTGGACCCACCCCTCACCTTCTTTTTTATTTCAGCTTGGGCCCTGGCTCGAGCCCGTTGTAGCCGCTCCTCCTGCTGCTGCTTCTGTATCCTGGCCTTCTCTTCACGAATCCTGGAGACAAGAGGTGGCTTACAGGGATCAGAGCCTGGGAGAAATCTTTCCTTTTCCCACCCAGGCTCCAGGTCAGCCCATGCCCTCCCACATGTAGAAAATTCCCCCTCTGCCTTTCCAAAGCTTGCAGGGGAAAGCAGATAGGACTATGTAGACACCATGCTTGAGGGTAACTCAAGGTTCAGACCACACAACCTAGAAAGCATGTCTTCCTGGATCCACATTTGTGTTTTCAGTCCCTGTACCTACAGTCCTACACCCTGGCATCTAGCTAGAACATTAGTCTCAGAGCAGGTGCTGAGGCTCCAGAGATGGCCCCATACTTGGGACAGACAGACTTGGCAGATAGTTGTGTCCCATGACCCCTGTCCTCTTGAACTCAGAGGCCTGGCCTCACATGACAGAGTCCTGAACCTGTCTATCTGAGGAGATTCATAAGGCTGGACACTGACTAGAATACCCTGCACCCAAGCCAGGGCTGCAGTCACAGAAGGTTGGGCACGGTGACTCACCTTATGCGCCGCTCCCTCTCCTTAATCTTCTCAGCCTGCTCAATCTTGGCCTGGGGCACTCGCTCCAGATTCTCTAGCAGCTCGTCCAGTTGGTGCTCCACCACAGTCAGCATCTGCACTGTGCCCAGGTTGGCCTCCTGCTGCATGCCCACACAATTCTGGTACACATCCTGCACCTTGAGGTTCAGGCTCTCCAGCAGCATCTCCTGGGGACAGTCGGCCAGTGGTGTGGCATGGCTGCAGGCCCCTGCTCACCCTCACATGATCACGTGCCTGTACCAGCAATCACGGCTTGGCAGCCAGGATGGAACAGCCACAGTGTAGACTTAAGAGAGTGGGGTGGAGCAATGGTACCTGCTTTTCTTAGCCAGAATAGCCCTGGTGCTTCTTTGGGTATGCCTGACTCATCTCATATCCCAGCCCTTCCTCCAGCTTCCTTAGCAAGCCCCCTGGGCCAGGGGGCTGTGCACTGAACACATTCTGTGAGGCCCAAGGTGGATGAACTCAGAAAGCAGGTAGCAACTGCTGTGTGAGTGTTGAGTGGGTATTAATGATCAGCAGCAGGCAACAAGCAACAAGGCTTAGTCAGGCCTGGCCACAGCCAGTGTCCAGTAGCTCTTGGCCAAGCAGGAGGCAGGCCCCTGGCCTGGTGTCTGTCATATAAGGCACTGGAAAGTTCCAGAAAGAACTAAAAACTAAGCGAGTAAATGATACTTCTGTGTTTGTGTGCTGAGCTCTTGGCCCTAGTCCCTACTCTCAAGTGTCTGGGAGCACATGCCACACCAAGCACCCAGGGCACAGGAAGTGGGCAGGGCCTAAGGTGTTGGGCCCTGCCCTGAGACACTCCTGTCCCTACCTGCTGGTGACCCTTATACTCCCCGAAGTGGAAGACACGGGCTTTGAGCTGCAGCTCTGCTGCTGCCTCCTCTTCTTTGGAGATTGAAATCATCATGGTGGCAATCCACTGCTTCAGCAGGTTGACCTCTCTGTCCCTGCAGGGCCAGACAGTTCCTTTAGCACCAGGGCTCCCACCAGGCAAGACCTAGGAGGCAGAGCCCTGCCCTAAGGCCATAGATCTAGAGAGTGGAGGCTCTGCCCACCAGGGGTGGAACTCCAGGACAGTGCAGAAAGCAGTCACCCACCCCTTGCACCTGGTGTCAGTGGGAAAGCCACTAGTCTCTTGCCCTTAACATCATTAGCTATTTGGATCTTGTGGTGTTTCCCAATTGAAATCCCTTTCTATTCCTAGCTTGTAATCCTTAGTGTCGTTTTACACACTATTGAGGTTCAACTTGTTTTCATCTCCTTCGGTCTTTGTATCTACAGTGATAAAACACCCTGTTCTGGACCCCTTTCTTCTGAGCTGTCTGGCTGGCTTGGCATCAAAGCCGTGCTGGAGCATTCCTCCTCTTCTGTCTTTTGGAGGTGACTGAGGAGTGTCATCATTTCTCCCTTAAATGTGTGAATGTATGGTGTGTGTGTGTGTGTGTGTGTGTGTGTGTGTGTGTGTGTGTGTGTGTTGAGACAGGAGTCTGTCACTGCCTGGGGCTTGTCAATGAACTAGGCCTGCTGGATTCCCTGCCCTTTCCTTCCCAAAAACCATAGTTATAAATGCATACCATGATTCCTAACCATTTATAGCCATTATGTATATAGCCAATACACGCGCGTGCGCGCACACACACACACACACACACACACACACACACACACACACACACACACCCGAGAGAGGCTGGGAGAGTTTGGGAATCAAACACAGGTCCTCCTTCTTATAAGGCAGGCACTTTACTAAGCTACCCCCTTAACTCTTTTAATGTTCCAGCTGGATCTAAGGTTCTTTTGCTAAGTTTATTATCCATTCAATTTCTTTAATTATTTTCTCACAAGCTGTTGTCTGATCTTCTTTTCCTAAGAAAGGGTAGCTGAGTTCATGGGCTTTGACTCAGAAACCACATGTGGGTGTTTCTGGGGATAGCTGTTGCCTGTCACCTGTGTCCTGCTAGGGGCATAGATGGCTGTGTTGAGGAAGAGCAGGTTCTCTGGGATTCTGAGAGGTTTCTGGCCTCTCTCCAGAATATCTCCTTGTGTCTCCAGCCCTTATCAGGTTTCCAGAAAACGGTTTTGCTGTAACTGGAGGTAGCCATGCTGGATCAGTAAGGTGAGTTATGAGGAACATGGCTCCCTATCTGGACATTGAAGTCTCAGCTGGACTGGGGCCTGTGCCCTGGCTGCTTCTGTTGCCTGAGCTGTCTGTCTTTCCTGGGCCACACACTGCTTTCTTGCCTGCCCCTCTCACCTGATATCACCTGGCCCTCACATTACCCACCCTCTCTTCTTCCTAGCAGTCAGTGTATGGGTCTGTCTGCCGTCCCATGCCATCAGCATAAGCTCCCATGGGCAGGCCCAGCCTGTTCCTTGCAGGCCTTGGGCCCACCCAGAAAAGTTGCTCAGAGTTTAGGGACTGGAGGATGAGTCTGAACAATACACCCCACCCAGTACCCCAGCCTAGCCTTCCCTACTCAGCCCCCATGGGCTCTGGAATGAACCCGCAGAAGAAACTGGGATGGGATGGCTGGTGGTCATACCCTATAGCGGGGATTATGGGTCTGAGCATCCAGTGAGCTCCAGATGGGAGTGAGACCAGCTCCTGCCTCCCCTGCTGCCTTGCTGGCTACACCTAGGGTCCTGGGTTTCCCTAGGATCTTTCCAGAGTCCTAGGCCTTTGCTCTGCTAGCCAGGCTTTGACAGACCTGTCTTCCCAGGCCCCAACCATCCCAGACTGGCTCTAGCCTCTCAGTTGGCCCTATGGCTTCCCTCACAGCCTGGGGGCCAGGGTGTGTTGTGAAGATCTCTAATACTTCCCCATAACTGAAGAGTCTTGAAGACCAGCTTCCAGCCCCTTCCAAACCATGCCCTAGGGTATGGTGGCCTTCTGCATGGCAGGGCTGGCTTCCCACAGCCTGGGTTAATGGTAGAAGGGCTGAATGGGAGGTCCTCAATGCTGCCTTCTGATTGAAGGAAGCTCCAAGGTCCTGGTATCTACCCAGATCCTATACAAGGAAGGGGACAGCTAATAGTGTAATGGGGCAGGAGTAGCAAGAGGGGGCAGCATGGCAACCTACATGCGGATCTGGGTGTTTCTCAGAGTGACATTCAAATCATCCAAGGTCTCCTCCATCTCCTGTGTGTTCTGAATCAGTGACAGGTTCTGTTCCTCTAGCTGTGTGAAGACATCCAAGAGCTGCTGGGGCTCAGTGAAGTACAGTTCCATCTCCTGTAAGGAGTAGACAGAGGGTGCTGTATAGGACAGGGCCTGGTGGACAGTGTAGAGTACTTGATAGATGGGGGAAGAGAGCCCAGCCACAGACCTCCCCGTCGCTGTCAGTGTCGTCTTGTGATGGCATCGTAGAGCTTGACCTGAGGACAGACAGTGGGATCAGAGCTCCTGGGCCCGTCTAGGCCACGAGTGGTGGTGGCAGTGGTGGTGGTGGTGGTGGGGCTGTCAAAGGACAAAAGACATGGATGGAGAATGTTCCCTCCCCCTTCCCCCATATTGCCCAGATGTAATACCAGCCCCCATCAAGGTCCCACAGCCAAGAAACTCAAAATTCAGTCACCGGTCTCCAGTTAGAACAAGACTACCTTCTCCTGATCCAGTGATAGGTTACTCTCACCCGACTTGTCAGCCCTCTCTCTAGGTGCAGGCCCTCACTTCCATTGTACCTACCTTCTTTCTTACCATTCATTTTCTGAGTGCCCCCTCTGAGGTCACCCGGGTTGGGCCTGGTTATATGCCCCACTCATAGTCATTGGGCATACCAAGCTCTTCCAAGCAGCACCACACCGAGCAGGGACTGTCCGGAGACAGCTCACAGGGATACAAAGAGGCTGCATGGCCTCAGCACTGTGTGGAGTCCACCTCCACATGCTTCCCAGCCCTTCTCAGTGGCCCCCACCCACTCTAGCTGTGCTGTGCTCAGGAGGTCCAGGTGTGTTATATGGGGGACAGGTGGGGTCATCTTCCTGCCAGATGCCCAGGAATCTGAGGTGGAAATGGAGATACACTGGTGCATAGCACTCTACGAGCACAGAAAGTTGCCTATGCCTCACCCCTGCACCTTCTGGGGCCATGTACAGAAGAGGAATTTGGAGGTAGCACACAGCTCAGCCACTGACTCGAGGTACTTCAGGAGACTGCTGAGCCCCGCTGCCTTTATTCCACCCTTCAAAGGGATATGGTCTTCTCAGTTGTGACCTTGTGCAGCTCACAATCCATCCAATTGTGTTCACCTCGTCCTCTGCATTTTATTTTGTTTTGTTTTTCGAGGTAGGGTTTCTCTGTGTAGTCCTGGCTGTCTAGGAACTTGCTCTATAGACCAGGCTGACCTCTATCTAACTCACAGAGATCTGCCTGCCTTTGCCTCCTGAGTGCTGGGATTAAAGGCATGTACCACCACCACCTGGCTGGCTCCCAGCTTCTTAAACTGTGGGTCCCAACCCCATGTGGGGTTGTATAGCTAAATGTGAGAATTATGGGAAATAATGAGCAACAGTGCAAGGTCTCCTAACATGCAATGACCAGAGATTCATTAAAAGTCAAACAAACAAAGTATAACTAATCTGGAGTGTTTTTGGACAGTGCTCAGCCATGTTGCATTGTGAATTCACTGCAGACTTGGTTCTGAGCACACACACATGTGCACTTTGCACTGTGCATGCTGTTACACCATACACCACCAATTATGCTGCCTGGAACACCTTGGCTCAGATCTGAGGCTCAGGCTCAAGACTACGTTGCAAATTGCAGAGTTTTTACTGTGCATCCAAAGCTTCTCCTCTTATAGAAACAATGTTTTAATTACAGAAAACAAAAAGTACTTTCCTATAATCATTCCATGCATCAAATGATATCTTTGGGATGTCCCTAAGCATGCCTCTGACATACTATGTTTATGTAAAATGGTGTTCTCAGCATTGATGATTATAAAATCAAAAACTGATCAACTGAAAAATACTGAACATGCTCTGCATCAGGCAGTATTAACTCTCCAGCCAAGATACGCAATCATTCATGTAATTATAAACAAGCACCCCATCTCATATGCAAATTTGACTTTTAATGGTGAAAGTGTATGTGTACCAGAAAAGTTCTTTAAATTCCTGTAGGATTTGTGATCAGTAGGTGTTCGGCCTGTGTGCCTAGATTGTAGACCATATACCCTGAGTCCTATAAATTGTCAGGTAAAAGGTCAAAGGTGGAAGCACTGTCCTTGCAGATAGGGAGAGGGACCAGGGTTCAATGCCAGGCCAGTGTGGTCCGCTGTATCCCCAGCTCTCTCAACACAGACAGGGCTGAAGTGACTGGTAGGTAGCTGGCATTGCACTCTGACCTCTTGGAGCCTCTGCACCAGGCTCCCAGCCAGCATCAGCAGTCAACACGCATCCATGTCACTGATGGTAGCTAGTCTATCTCAAAGACGTACAAAACCACTATGCACAAGAAGAAAAGATGCTTACAAGCAGAGAAAGCAGGAGTTTCCCACAGCCCAAAAAGCATATTTGGGGAGTTGAGCAGATGGGAAAGGGGGTACAGTGTGCAGAACCAAGGAGGGGGTCCAGATGGTCCTGGAGCAGGGGGAGACAGAAGATGGAGCATGGGAAGAGACAGCAAAGACTGGGACTGCTACTGAGGAAGTACCCGTTTCTCATCCCAGATGCCCGTATCCACACCAATGCACTGACACTTGCAGCACAAAAGCACTTCAGGGCCAGCAGAGATTTCTTAAGAAAGAATATGAGATGCACCCACCGTATGTGGAGAGATTGATAACATGGCATTATTAAAATTAATTTTTCCTCATAAAGCAATATTGAAAATGTGATGTCAGGATACCACCAAGGTGTATAAAGAGCCAACAGAGGACTGACAGAGGGAACCAACTAGACAATAGAAAGATGAGAAAACCAGGCCACCCAGTGCCAAGACAGGAATTTGTCATCAGGAAAATGTCACTAAAACGCAGATACTATTGGGCCCAGCAGTGACCCTGTAGTTTTTTTCCCAATATTCTGGGGCTCTGACATATGGGGCCTTGATGACCCTCCCAGGATAGCCTACAGACAGGAAAAGCTGCCCTGGCACAAGTCTTCCAGTGAGGAACAACCCCTCTAGCCCCACCCACTCTCCTTTATTATGTTGTCACACTGGGGATACTGACTACCTCAGTTACCTCAGGGCAAAAAACAGACACCTGAGGCAGCTCTGTGGAATGACCCTCAGCTGGTTTCCCTCTCCTCGCCCTGCCCCAGAGCCACATGAAATTCCTTGCCCCTCCCCTGTGACCCTGACAACCTAGCTGTGTCCTTTAGTGCCCTTTGCTTCCCCCCCCCTAAGCCCCCTGGAGACCACTCACATCCTGGATTCCAGGTCGCTGTACAGGCTGGGCTGGCTGGGCTGACCAACCTGCGGGAGGCTCTGAGAGCTGGATGGGGCCTGCCCAGACCGTGTAGACCTTGAGGACTTCTTTAAGCTCTGAACCTCTAGGGGGAAATTAGAAGGTTTATGTGTGTCCCTGGCATGAGGTGTGGGTCCCCTCTGGACTGGGGCAGCCATACCTTTCCACAGCAAAGTCGTCTTGCTCTTGCTGCTAGACCCTACAAGAAGCAAAAGAGAACCCCATATGACTACTGCTGGGCCCAGACTTCACATGATAATTCAGACTCTCATCCTAGGAAGAAGAGAGGGAGGGAAATGCTTGGGAGGAGAGCCCTTGATCCACCTGGAAAGCACATGTCCCTGTGGGAAGGCTCAAGCTGAGCTCCTGGGTGTTCAAAGTAGGTACTTCTATGTGTGGAGGCAGCCATGACAGAAAGGACCACATGGGGCCCCATACATACAGGGTCCCTTCAAGCTGGGCAAAGGCTCTCTGCACCACTATCAGGGCCCACCCTTGGGGAACACCCTTCTCTTGGCCTACCTCTCTCCCCTAATAAGGTGACCATGCTGCTGTCCTTGGTGCTGTCCCCAGGCTCCTTGGCCTTTCTGAGAGCCAGGCGTTTCTCCTCCTGCTCGTCCAACCACTCCTTGGGTGACAGCTTATACAGGAAATCCTTGTAGATCTTGTAATGTTGTAAAGTGTCTTCGAATTTAGAGATTTCGCTAGGCCCAGGGAGGGATGCAGAAAGTTAGGCCGTGTCCACCACCAAGCCCTAGCTGGGAGCAGCTGGGAAAGGAATTTGCCCTGCAGGGACCAGAACACTCAGGATTTCCTGAGTTGTGACCCTCTGTGACCTACAGGGTCCTTATTCTCTGCTCTCACCCTGGCCACAATGGCCCTGTGTCCTGATGGTATGGCCTCAGGAGAGTCACTTAGTTTCAGCTTTATCAACACCCATAAAACAGACTACAGCCTCCCGCAGGGTTTCAGTCCTTGGGAGGCCTTTGTGGTCCCAAGTGGTCCTTGACTCCAGTGGAGTGACATGGAAATGTGCCCCCCACACACACTCTACCTTTTGATGTTCATGATCTGGGCCGTGAGGTCCCTGATCTCAATGATCTTCTCCATCTTGATCTTGGACTCTTTCTCAGCCCTGAGGGAGGGGAAACCAGGAGCCAATCATGGATCATTAAAGGTCAATCAGAAATGGATGGAGCTATGGCCTGAGCCTTGGGCACAGGCCAGCTGGGTAGCTAGTAGGGTAGCCGGGGTCATGACTATGGGCTGAGATCGGGGCCTGGCTAGGTCTCGAGGCTCCAGGTCCTGTAAGTTTGGACTGGATCTGGTCCAGGGTATGGGTTTTCACTGGCAAGGTCACGAGGGCCTGAAGGCTCACAGTTTCATGGCCTGCACTGAGCTACGGTCGTTCTCCCTGAGGAACTCATCAAACAGGGTCGCATCCTTCTCCAGGAACTTCTCAGCCTTCTCCAGCCTGTTCTCCTCCCGGGTCGCCAGCATCTCTAGTCGCTGGATTTCATTGCGCTTCATGGCCAAGGCGTACTGTGGGCCAGCAGAGCAGGCATGAAGGTCCCTGGCGGGGCCAGAGCCAAGCTACAGACCAACCGGACACCGCCGTTCCCACCTGGAGGAGGAACATGCTTCGCTTCTGTTGCATGTAGTCATTCAATGTTTCAGGCTCCACAGTATTGTCTGCAATAAGACCCAGAAGGTGAGTAGGGGAGAGAGGCTGAAGCATCTGTGGGGTCTGTTTCCTTGGATTCAACCATCAGATCAGAAATATGTGGAAGAGAATCACATTTGTACTACAGGTAAAAGAATTCCTTCGTCACTACAAACAATTGCCTACATAGAATATATATTGAATCCCACCATGTACACATCTATGATGACTTAGAGAATACAAGGGAGCATAAATACAATTTGAGAGCATCTCTGTGGGTTCTGATACCAAGGGGGGCTCCAGGAAGTTGTTCCCTGGGATGCTGAAAGGTGACTGTTAGTCTTCTCATGTGGAGACTGTCTAGCTTGGGCCTCTCTTATTATAGCACCCCGCACAACTCATGAGGCTGGCACAGTTAGAGGAGTCCAGTGCTGGCCATGACCTATCAAATGCTGCAGTGTGACCAAGATGACCAAGACCTGGAAGGCAAATTTCAGATGTGGCCTCCTCACTGTAGTTGAACTGCCCATTGACTGGGAGTTGCTGTTGTTGGGTGGGCCTAAGTCTCTGCAAGCTGAGCTTGCCTCTACCTCTGCATACCATGCAGTCTCCATATGATCAGCATGTCCTGGAACTGTGGCCCAACAAGACAGAGCTCTTCAAGGTATGTGGTGTCAGACACACAGAGAGAGGGCTTTTCTTAATCATCTCTTGTTCCTGCTTCTGCACAAGGCAAGGGAGCTATACCTTGGGTCATGGCCAGCTTCCAGGTAGTGTTGTCACGGAAGCCGTGCAGTTGCCGGGTCTCAGTCATCAGGTCCTGGTCCTCCATCTCCTCTTCTAGCTGCAGCTCCCGGCGCAGGCTAGTGTGCTTGGCGGACACCTTGGATGAGTAGGTCATCTTCTGGTGCACCCTCATCATCTTCTTTTGTTCACGCTCCTGGGGGTGGGAGAGGAGGCAGGCAATGAGATCTGGGCTCTTGTCAGATGGGCTCTCGTTTCCAGTCAGGCCTACACATAGGGAGGGAGGACGGACACACACACACACACACGCACGCACGCACGCACGCACGCACGCACGCCCTATTCTAAGCACTCTATTGGTCCTCTTAGAGGACTGTGGACTCTTGCACACAGCCTCTAGGGTTGAACAGGACAATGACCACCTGATGATGGGACACAGGAGGGGCAGCTATACCAAACATAGGTGCCAGTTCAATATGCAGCCAGGTAACAAACTAAAAGACGATCATCTGTCCCTTTACCCAAAGTCCCCTTAAACTGAGACCAAGAATTTGATTTGCTAAAACTGACAAAAGACTTAGGGAACTTAAACCTGATTCCAAAAGGTTAGCAGTACCTTTTGCAGGATGTTCTGCCACCTGGCTGGAAGATTACTGGTAGCCAGTGCTGTCTCACATTGTGGGCTTTGCACTAAAGTCTCCTCAGTCTGTTATCTGCTGGGCCCCACTGAGTGGGAAGTACATGTGTAGTAATTCTACTCTCTGGGTAGAATGTATATGTGGGGGACCTAATGAGGAATGTCCTTCTGTATATATGTTTCTCTTATTGATGAATAAAACTGTTTGGCCAATAGAGGCAGGAAGATAGGCAGGACTAGGCGATAAGGAGAATTCTGGGAAAGGTAGGCAGAGAGGGCCCATCAAAAGGAGACACCATGTAGCCCCCAAAGGAGAAACAGATCTGAACATTCTCTGGTAAGCCAAGACCATGTAGAAATACATAGATTAATAGAAATGGGTAAAAAATTAAGACAGTAGGAAGCCCTAGCCATCGTGTTTTATTTGGGGGCTAAAGTGGCAGTGGGACCAGACTAGGAAGAAAACTCCAGCAATAGGGACTCTCTGGGTAGAATGTATTGTGGGGACTCCCTTAGTAGGGAAGAGTTGCTGGATGGGGAGGGTATGAGTTGGAGATGTCTCAAGGGCAGAAGAGCAGCATGCAATTGCACATGGACATTTTGCAGAAGGTATTACCCCAAGGTACTGCCAGGCTTGGAAATAGAGATACTCAATACTGCATCCAAGAAGAGGAAGGCCCCAGGTGAAGTCTAGAGAGAGGGTTCTCCATCCTGTCTCATTCTGGAACTGGGCATGGGTCACAGGCCTGTTCCGGTTTCTAACACAGAAGCTGAAGTATGTCTTTCACCTAGTGCTCCACTGATGCTGCCATGGAGCCATGCCCCTGAGAACAGCAGGTGCTGAGCCTGGATCAGGGGATACAGACTGCCAGGTCAGGCCAGAAGAAAGGAGGGGTATAGCGGGTGGGGAAAGGATTCCCCAGCAGGTAGAGGTAGGTTACAGCAAGTGAAGGAGGGGGTGCAGCAGGTGGGGGAGGGGTGCAGGAGGTGGAGTTAGGGTACATCAGGTGAGGGAGGGGTTCAGCGGGTGGGTCCATAGGAGGGGACCTGTGAGGTGTGAGATAGGGAGAGAACGGCATTCTGCACAGGGGAAAGTGGAAGAGGTAGAGAGATTGCCACAGCATCTGAGGAAGCCATCTGTCTAAGGCCCAGAGACAATGACAATGGGAGTCATGGGACAGGTTAGAGATGCGAGAGCCAGGCAGGCTCTGCACTTGATTTTATAGGAAAAGGCAGGTTAGAGATGCGAGAGCCAGGCAGGCTCTGCACTTGATTTTATAGGATAAGTGAGCCAATGATTGCTCAGGACAGAGAGTGAATTGAGGAGGGAAGCATTTAACTGAGACAGGAACAGAGAGCAGGGAAGCTTCCCAGGCCCAGATACTTACTGCAATGGCTTTATTCTGCTCCTGCTCTCTGAACAAGAAGAAATCCACATCTTCTGACATGTGGAAAGGGTTACTTGAGGGGTCAAGTATAGTCCCTGGAGAAGGAAAAAATAGCCTATGTCTCAGGGGTCCCCAGAGTGCTCTTCGATCCAGCCACACTTGAAGTCTTCTCCTGGATCCTTAAGTCCCACAAACTTTCCTCTGTGGTTTAATCTGTGGAGAGGGGTGGTGTCTGTCTCATCCATGGCTGCATCTATCCTGGTGTGAAAATCCCACCAGAGGGAAACCAGAGCCTCCTGTCTAATGCCAAAAGTGATGGAACTGAACAGGTTTCCTATGGGTAGGGCAAGTGGGGTGCAAGCCAGGCCAACTCCTGGAGACCCCAAAGAGACAGGCAGAAATCCATCCAGAGAACCAGGAGAAGGCCCTGAGTTGGGGCTCATGCTGGTCTACTCTGTGAACCCCAGGTCATGCTTTTCTCTACTACACTGATTCAGATCCTAGCATGGACACATAGTGTGAGCTCCAGGGAGGGGTTCAGTAAGTCAGAGGGATGAACAGCACACACAGTCCCCATCAGTATGAAACTCCAGGACAGCTCTGGAAGGCAAGGGGGGTAGTGTGGTAAAGGCTTGTTAAAGAGCTCTGGAGAGAGGAAGGGTAGCTAATGTCTGCTTTAAAAGACCTCTGTGTCCATATTTATGGCCACATGGAGTTTTGGTCAATGGAATGTGAGCCAGAACTGTTGGATGGGGCTTCTGGGATGGCCCTTTCCTTCATAGCTGAGGTAATGAGAGGGTGGTGTTTATAGTTTTTATAAGTCTTGATTACGTTGATATGGGCAGGCTCAGCCCACCATGGGCAGCACTGCTCCTTGGGTTTGGTACCTGGTCTGAACAAGAGTGGAGAAGGTGTTCTGAGCACCAGGCTTGTATATGCATCCGTTCCTCTGCTCTCGTTCCTGATGCCTTGGCTTCCCTACTACAGGGACTGTGAACCAGAGCTGGGCGCTGTGTGTGTGTTTGGGCAGCGGGGTATCCTTTCTTCCTGCCTTGAGTCAGACACAGTTGTGCACATCAGCCCTTCCATGACCATGAGACAATCTTATATTTGAAAATTCTAGTGAGACAGAAAGACTTAGGACCTGGTCACCCAGAAGTCTCTCAAGGTTTTCCCTACAACCTCCTTGTGTTTCTGTTGAGTTCTGTCCAACAGGAAGAGAAATACCCCACTCTGCCCTGTACCCTGGAGGCCATCTGGACACACCCTAGGAAAGGGGCCAGGCTTAGCCTCTACCCTTTTTGGGAAACTACCTTTGTTTTTCTTTGAATGTTTCTTTTTGTCTTCAAGGAAGGAAGAGGAGCTGTTGATGAACTCCAGGCTGCTTTCTGGTGAGACACAAAAAAAAGAGTCACAGCAATGACCAATCTGACCCTGAGATCTGTGAACATACAGCAAACATGGTGCTGGGTTCCAGCCACACAGGGCACCAACTTAGCTACCTCTCAGAGCCTCTGGGTCTACAAGTGAGATTAGGATGCTGACCTTGCTGAGAAGACTGTGAGGAAATGGCATGAGCATCTCTTTCCTGAGAACTGGAAGGAGGCAGCTACTTCAAGCCTTCCCTTCCCTCAGCCCCCTTGTTATCTCCCTGTAAGCAACAAGCCCCTAATTCCTCCCAAGGCAAAATGGAAATGTCAATATCTCATTCCTTGGGAAGCTCTACCCCCTTCCACCTGAAAAGGGTTCTGCTAGCCTGTGATCAAGAAATCTAAGTTGAAGGGCCAGGTTGGTCCCTGAGGCAGGTTCGTATTTTTCTTCAGATGACTTTAGGCATTGAGTCAAGCTGCTTTACTGACCTTGTCACCTGACACCCACAGCAAAGAGCCTTGTGGCTTCTCCCAAGACAGTCAGGACTCCAGCAGGGGCAAACAGAAGAGAGCAGAACTGAGCTGTGTGGGTAAGTCAGGGAAGGCTGTGGCCCCCAGTACCCTGGGATGGAGGAAGTCTTAGGTGGAAGGGTGAGAGTGAGCAGAGCCCTGGAGGCCCAGAAAGCATGTCTGACCAGGAGGAAGACAACCTGAAGGCAAAGGATGGGGCATCTGGGAATTGAGGCATCTTGGTTTCCATAGAGCCCTCCTGCTGAGTTATCCTGCTTCCTAGAGTCTATGGGAAACTTTCCTGGTAGTGAAATTTAATTATCCCATCATAAAAATTAGAAGATACTAAAAACTAAACACTAAACACAAACACAACAAAGTCTAATAAATAGACCAGACCAAAACCAAGTCAAAATTGTACTTCAAATCTCCATTCTTAATTTTAAAAAAGGCACATACATTGTCAAAAGTTTTCAATTCTGTGGTGTAAGAAGCATCCTTACCCATTCTTTCTTCTCAGCAAAGGCTTTTTTTCACCTTGAAAGAGTCTCCCTGTGTGTCCTAGGCTGGCGTCAGACCTATTATCCTCTTGTCTCAGCCTCAGTGCTGTATCTCTAATCTATCTCTAGTATATAACTAGGTAACACTAGTGTGCCTCTGAGGACACAGGCACATATGTATACATACAAGCAGGCAAAACACCCAAATACATATTTAAATCTTTTAAAAAGTGTTCAAGAGCACATGAATTTGAGGAGGAGGAGGGAAGGGGTAGATCAGGGATGAGTATGATCAAAATACATTCTCAGATTCTCAAAGAATAAAAAATATGTTTTAAGGGTTTTAGACATAGCTTCAGAGTTAAGAGTGATCCCTGGTCTTTGCCACCTCTAACTCCAGCTCCAAGGGAAACCCTCTTCTGGCTTCCCAGACCCTTGCAAGCATGTGACAAAAACATTTATACATAGATAAAAGTATAATATTTTAAGAAGCAAAATACATTTTGTGCATGCACAAACACCTCTTGCTTTTTCACTACATGCTGCCTGCTGTATGGCTGAATCGTGAGAACCTGATGCTAAATGAAAAAGCTTGTCATAAACGTAATCAGCATCCAGGATGGATGGGATGAATGCAGGTCAGGTGCCAGCATTGCTTCAGGACTGTCATCAGTCCTGGTGATTAATAGTCCTTTGTGTTGAAGCTTTGTTTCTAAGGAACATTCTAGCACCCACCAGCTTAAGGTGAATGCCATTGTAAGTCCCACAGCAGACTTCCTCACCTGCCCACAACTGCACTGCTCTACACACTTTTGAGAGTTATTGTTCCTTGCACTGATTTCTGACTCACTTTACTGTAGAAAGTTCATGTGAGCTGGGTGTGGTGGCACACACCTATGATCCTAGTACTTGTGAGGCAGGGGCAGGCAGTTCATTGAGTTCAGGGCCACTGATCTACAAAGAGTGGAACTAGCCAGTTAAGACCCTATCTCAAACAAAAATGTTCATGTTACTGCTTTCATGGTAGAATGGATATCTTAGGGTTTCTGTTGCTGTGATGAAACACCATGACCAAAGTAACTTGGAAAGAAAAGGGCTTATTTCACACACAGTTCCACATCATAGTCCATCAAGGAAGAAAGTCAGGAAAGGAACTCGAACAGGGTAGGAACCTCGAGACAGCAGCTGATACAGAGGCCATGGAGGGTTGCTGCTTCCCGGCTTGTTCATCCTGGCTTGCTTATCCTGCTTTCTTATAGAACCCAGAACACCAGTCCAGGAGTGACACCACACACAATGGGCTAGGCTCTCACCTATCAATCACTAGTTTAAAAAAAAAAAACAAAAAACTTTACAACTGGATCAGTGGAGGCATTTTCTCATTTGAAGTTCTCTCCATTTAGATGATACTAGCTTGCTTGTGTCAAGTTGACATAAAACTATCCAGAACAATGTGTCACTCCAGGTCACCAGAATCTGTGTTCTAAGGCCAGAATCACTTAGACCAGGCTCAGTACACATGCTTGCAAACAGACTTTTATTTCTGCCAGCCAGTTCCCAAATAACCACCCAGAGACTTATTAATTATAAATGCTTAGCCAATAGCTTAGGCTCATTTTCAGAAGCTCTTATAATTTAAATTAACCCATTTCTACTAATCTGTGTGCTGTCCAAGGCTCACTTATCTCATGTATGTACTCCCATCCTGCTTACTCTCCTTAGGCCTCCACCCTTCTTCTTCCCAGTGTTCTCTGTCTTTCTCTCCCACCTAACCTCTCCCTGCCTTGATATTGACCAGTCAGCTCTTTATTAACAATGAGAGCAACACATCTTCAATGTGCACAAAAGCATTTCCCCATTTTTAATTAAAACACAAAGTTTTAATTATAACATAGTAAATTATATACAACAAAATATTATCAAGTAAAAATTAAAGAAAACACTCTATCATCTATCTTATCTTTGTGAGCCTGAAGTTTTATACCTAATTTACCTTTTATTATAACTAAGAAAACTTTAAGTATAATCATTCAGTCTTTAACTCCATCAAAGACCCCAGATGGGTATGATATTACCTAACTGTTTTTGTTATATATAGCCTTACTATGTTAAAGTTCGTTAAAGGAAGAAATGTGGATTATTCCTTTACACTGTGTGAATATATGTCATTGTGATTGGTTTAATAAAAAAAGAAAGCTGACTGGGCTGGAGAGATGGCTCAGAGGTTAAGAGCAGTGGCTGTTCTTCCAGAGGTCATGAGTTCAATTCCCAGCAACCACATGGTGGCTCACAATCATCTGTTATGAAGTCTGGTGCCCTCTTCTGGTGTGCAGATATACATGGAAGCAGAATGTTGTATACATAATAAATAAATAAAATCTTTTTTAAAAAGCTGACTGGCCAGCAGCTTGGCAGGTGGAGGTTAGGTGGGACTGTCAGACAATTGCATGAAGAAGAAGAGGAGGAGTCTCTCTCGAGAGTCTCAGAAGTCACAGAAACAGGAGATAAACTTGCCATACTGAGAAAAGGTAACAAGCAATATGGATTAACTGAGAGTTATTGAGTAAAGCATTATTCATAATAGCCAGATGGAAACAACCTAGATGTCCCTCACCTGAAGAGAATAAAGAAAATGTGGTACATTTACACAATGGAGTATTACTCGGCAGTAAAAGAAAAACAATTTACAGGCAAGTGGATGGGACTAGAAAAAACCATCGTAAGTGAGGTAACCAAGACCCAGAAAGACAAATGCAATATGCAATTGCTCATAAGTGATATTAGATGTGAAGAAGAGGACAACCAGGCTACAATCCATAACCCCTGAGAAGCTAGGCAACAAGGAAAGAGAAACCTTGATAGAGGGAGCCACATTATGGGGATAAGGAGAAATTTGGTACTAGGAAAACTCTGAGGAATTCATAAGGATTATACTAGTTAAGACTCCTAGCGATAGTGGAGAGGGTGCCTGAACTGCCCTTCCCTTGTAATCAGGTTGATGAATACCCTAATTGTCATCATAGAACCTCATCCAGTAACTGATGGAAGCAGATGCAGAGATCTACAGCTAAGCACTGGACTGAGCTCCTGGAGACCAGTTGAAGATGAGGAGGGGTTATATGAGTAAAGGGGTCTAGATCATGATAGGAAAACCCACAGAGACAGCTGACCCGAGCTAATGGAAGCTCACTAACTCTGGACTGATAGCTGGAGAACCTGCATAAGACCAAACCAAGCCCTCTGAATGTGGGTGACAGTTATGTGGCTTGGGCAGTCTATAGGGCCACTGGCAGTGGGACCAGGATTTATCCCTAGTGCATGAACTTACTTTTTAGAGCTCATTCCCTATGGAGAGATACTTTGCTCAGCCTCACTACAGAGGGTAGGAGCTTGATCCTGCCTCAACTTGATATGCCAGACTTTGTTGACTCCCCATGGGAGGCCTTACCCTTATTGAGGAGTGGATGGGGTTGGGTGGGTGGGGGGAAATGGGGGGAGCAGGAGGAGGGAGGGGAGGGGGAACTGTAGTTGGTATGTAAAATGAAAAAAAAACTTTTAAATAATGTTTTTTAAAGTTAGCTAGTAACAAGCCTGAGCTATTGGTCAAGCATTTATAATTAATAATAAGTCTCAGTGTGGTTATTTGGGAACTGGCTGGAGGGAGAGAAAGGCCCACTTACACATGACTTCTTCCATAAACAGGTATTGGTCCTTGGAACTGGGGAGACAGCTTCGTTTCAGACGATGAAGGGTAGACCTGGATGACTGGGTCAGTGGTGTAGTTGCACTTGCATTCAATTGGTTAAGAATGTCTATTTTATGTCTTTTAGTGCAAGTTAATGTCTAAAGGCCATGGCTCATTCACGTGACTCACACATACCTAGCTGAACTAGCCCCTTGCTGGACCCTGGGATTATCTTTAGTCTTCCATCATTTCCCAGCTTTGCAATGGGTTCTCTGGATCACCAAGGTTAGCACTATTGACCAGGTCCCTTGCACTGCCACCAC